TGACCCCCCCCCCTGAACAGTGGACTAGTTGGCGGGACTCTCTTTACTGTAGTGAGATCCTGGGGGCCCGGGAGGGGCAGTACTTACTTTAGCATTTCCAATTCTACTTTAGTATTGCCAAGGCTGACTTTCAGATCCCCAGTACTTACTTTAGTATTGCACCCCCAAAACCAGTTGGACACTAAAGAGGACCCCCAAAACAGTCGCATTAAAGAGGATCTGGGCCTCTTTTGGGCACCCCCCTTTGTGTGACTGTTTGCCCGCACTTTTTTGGTAAAGAAGTTATCTTAAATTTGATGGTTTGCGAACAACTTGCAAAGTGGAATTCCTACATCTCAGGCCTTTAACCTTTTAGCTGGGGAGAGCTTAGGATGAGTCCCCTTCTTTAAAAGTGAAAGGCTGAGGCTTTGGTTTTCAGTTTTCAGCAACCCCGAAACCAGCTGGACACTAAAGAGGACCCCCAAAACCATTGCATTAAAGAGGATATGGGCCTTTTGTGGACACCCCTTTGTGTGACTGTTTGCCCGCACTTTTTTGTAAAGAAGTTATCTTAAATTTGATGGTTTGGGGACCACTTCAGGAAATCAATTTCCCAATGTTTGCCAGGATTTGGTTGCCTGTTTTTTTGCCCGACTTGTTTGCCAAGTTTTTTGCCCATATTTTTCCCAGCGTTGTTTCCGGCAAAAACTTTCCAACCCCTAAAACAGTTTTAAACAGTCCAACGATTCTGAATTAGAAAAATATTTTCCACAATAGAGAGTACTATTAATAAAGGAGGTCCAACATTATCCAACTCAAAGCATTCTGTCCGAAGAGTTTCCTTGCCAGAAAATTGCCACAAAGCCCACGCATATGTACTTGGTTGCTCTTTGATGCCCCACGAACCAGCAAACCTTCCAACTTTTGCAGGGGATCGATTATGGATGTTGTGCGTGGCCTTGACGCGCTTTCGCTCACGTGAGAAGATCAAGCCCACTCCAGAGAACTCACACTTTTGTGGGCCTGGCGCACACCTTACACGCCCTGCAGAACAGCTAAGAACCAGGTTCTCCTATCAAGTCATGGCCAAGGGTTCACGTTTGAGAAGTCTGCGCAATGGTGCGCAATGTCCAGCTTGGCTTTTGCCCCTCTTGTCCAAATCACCTAGCACAAGCTGCCAATTTCAATCGGGAGCCAAGCTTAGCTGGTCGTTCGGGTCGGTCTGATTGCAATTGTCGTTCTTGTTGGGTCGTCCTGGCGGCGGCGTTTCTTGACCGTTTTACTTCCAAACCGGAAAGAGCTGAACGTTCGGAATCGTTCGGAAAGTCTTGCTGGTATTCAGGGCGGGAATCAGTTTTCGAACCGGGAAGTTAGCTTTGCAACCCGGGGTCCCTATATTTCTCTTTTTTGGTTATGATTATCACCTTTTTGGGCCATAGGTGAGTGTTGCTTGGTAGGGGTGGCATAACGGAAAATTGGAAACCTTTTCCAGCTTTGAACTGCTGACCAGGAGCGGGACTACTACCCGTATTGGCACCCCACCCCCTGGCACGACATCGCCATTCTCACGGACGAGCCCTACGAGCGCTGCGACTACTACCGCGCCGAGTCCCAGAACGTTGTGGCCAAAGGCTACTGCTCGCAGCCAGAGTTTAACAACCCGGACTCCTGCGCAGGCAGAGGGTAGCCCTGTGTGTGTGTGCGTGTGTGTGTCTGTTTGTCTGTGTCTGTGTCTGTGTTTGTGTCTGTGTGCGTGTGCGTGTGCGTGCGCGTGCACGTGCACGTGCGACACGCACGCACGCGCGTGCGTGCGTGTGTTTATTTGTGTGGTGTTGAGGGCACCCTTGTCAGGGTTGGTTTAAAAATTGAAAGAAAATCAAACAACCGACCCTTTTATACTTCTTGGAAACCTTCTACGGACCAAATAGTAGAGGCTTCCTTTTGGGGCTATGCCAAACTGAACCCAAAAAAGGGTCCTTTAAGGTCTGCCCTGAGGCAACGGCGGTACCTGGAAGGACTGATCCGGAAGAAAGCAAAAATCGCGACCCCTGGAGGGTACAGTGATCACAAGTGATGCGAAGAGCTTCCTTTCATCTTGAATATTTTTGTTTTGGAGCATGGATCCCTCCATTTCGCATTTTGGAACCTCCAAAAGTGGCAGTTTCAACGGAAGCAGCCGATTGTAACTTTTGAAGGGGAAATCTGACACCAAGTGGGGCTCCATTTCTGATTTGTCCTTTCCAAGCCCAGACTGGTCTTTGCCTAGCGCTTGCTTCCAAATCGGATCGATGAGGTGATTGGTTGCACCTGGACCCCCCTCTCCCTTCTTCCCCTTCTGAATATTACAACATAATTCACTACAAGGCATTATTAAGGCTTCACACCCCTGAAATTCCAGTCAGTTGAAACATCTGCCTTGTTTTTGGCCTTATGTTTTCTGAGAAACACGGGTCAATGGAGAGCCAACACGCTGTTTTGTTTTGCAAGAAACCCAACCCCAATGATGTTATAGTTGTATTTCTTAAACACAACCCTTTGGGCGTGGGTTGGGGTTTATTTAAAAGAAAATAATCAACAGTGTGTTTACGTTTATATCAAACAACTAATACAACCCAACATGTTTTTTTTTTTGATTTTTTTTTTTTTTTATAAACACCCAACAACCCAACATTTGTTCTTCTTTTTGGATGCCCAACCCGGCATGTGATTTTGTCTGCAGTGATATGCGACGTGCGACCACCAAGGGGCGCTTCGCTTCGGGGCGTGGAAGCCTCCTTCGCCAGGAGCAGAGCCCTTTTGAGGAGCCGCCTCCCGAGTGCACCGGGAGCATTGGCAGCCGGGACAACCACAACGGCAACGTCCGCAACGGCCATCCGCCGCTTCGGCCGAAGAGAGACATGGCATGGGCTGCGGAGAGTGCCGATGCCCGGAAAAACATGAAGCCAAGCTCCAAAGAACGGGCTGGTAGTTTTTGAGGGTGTCTTCTTGTGGTGGGAAAGGGAAACAGAGCGTTCTTGTTGTTTTCGTTTTTTTTTTTTTTGGGGGGGGGAGCCTATACTGGCGCATCCTCAAAATGAGTAGGTTCCCGTTTCATGAAAGCTGGTTTAGGGGGTTAGCTAAATGATTCCTTTCCTCCCACTTGTATGGCAGAAACAGGGGTCCTTTAGCGGTTTGACCGGGTTTAGCGCCAGGTCCCTGTTGCGCCAACCAGCCATTCGTCCCTAAGAGAAGCTTATCATGTGCTTCTTGCTATCCCCACCACTCACGCAGTCGCCTTGCTGATGCGTGCCGTAGATTGCGGGCTGCTTTGCAAAAGTAACCATCTGAAGTCCCGGAATGATCTGTCCATCCTCCTCATTCATGCTTCGCAGGTCCGCGATCCCTGCGGTCCTTCACATCAAACGTGTACCTGCCTCCCCACCCGCGCCAACCCGCAGCGAATGTTCTACCTTTCGTTTTACTTTAGTGCCCCGCTAGTCAGGTAGCTTAATCATCCCGTTGCGGATTGTTTTTTTTGTTTTCTTCGAGGAAACCAAAAAAGCGAGAACCAATAAAAATAAAAACAATAATAATAATAATAATCTGGCAGACAAAGGTCAGGATTGTTTTTTTTTTTCTTTTTGGGTTTCCGCGAGGTTTTGGCATTCCTGCATTTGCGCTCTGATTTTCTGAGCGGAATGCTACGGGTGAATGCTCGGAAAGTGGCAGGGAAATGCTTGGGGAATATGTAGGGAATACTGGGGGAGGGCGATTACTCGGATAATACTAGGGGTGCAGGGAATACAGCTGGAATCCTTGGAGCACAAAATAGGGGAGAGGAAAGCAACCGCTTGGCTGCTCCTCTTCTTACATAGGCCTTTTGGCCTGCCAAGCAGTATGGCGAAGTTTAAATTGAGAACACCGTGGTGGCTGGACATAGGTGCCCATATATCCCCATAAGCGTTCCCAATTGAAACTCAAACACAGCAAAAGGGGACCCAAAAAGAATGGTGGCTTTACTTCAGTCACCCGTTCAACCAGAGGTGCCACCCATGTCTTCCCATTTCCGCACCAGCTGCGAGGCATTACTACGTTTGGAAGATCCCGGAGTACCTCACGGGAAGGGTGGTGTTGCGGATCAGGTGCCGTGGCTTGGGAGGAGAGTCCATGGGGTTTCCATTGCAGCTACGTCCTCAAAACCGATTCGAAAACGAGATGAAGGTTGGAAGAATCCCTTGCAATACATGGGTGCGGACATCCGCCTTTCTTGAAGCATGGCTCCGGGGCCGAGTTTGTTCTTTATGCATTTAACCTTTGCACTCCAAGTTGTTTGTATCCAACCAGCCACAAGGAAACTTTCAAAATGCAGAGCCATAGAAAAAAAAGACTTGGCCAACTCTTTAGTGTGAAGAAGAATTCAAGCACTGACAAGCCAGAGGTGGTCGACGTCTTTTGCATGGTTGCAGCCATAGTCTTTGATGTTTAGCCTTCTGGAGAACGTATTGGTTTGGCCACACGGCTTACGCGTTGCAAGTATGCGGAACTGCGGCCGGTCAGGTTGTTGTTTTTCTTCCCCGTTTTCGGGAGGGGGGGGCTTTGAACCGGGTGTGCCCGTGTTGGTTTCATGGCAAGAGGTGGGAGGGACATCTAGGGATGTTTTGGGGAGAAATAGGTGGCCGTGCCATGGCCAAAGTCTATGATGCAAGCTCAACCTCCTAAAAAAGACAAACCCTAAATGAAGGAGGTAGCAGACACGCTGCAGGTAGCAAAGTGTCCTTGCAAACGCGCGCCTAAAGTCAGGGGTTCGGGACACACGCTTGGCAGGTACAACATCACCACGGGGGACTTCAACTACGGATCTTTGGCCAACCCCAAGGAAGTTGGCGCAGAGCTCACCGGATCCAAGGCGAGTTGACCAAGTTTTGTTTTGTTTTATCTCCAGAGAAATGGCCGAATACCTCAAACCAAAGAAAAGACAAATTAGGGGGTGGCGCTTTTTTTGGCTAAACCTCATGTTTGGTGGATTTTTGTCCATGAAAAGCAAAGGGACACCGCCCATCTTGGGGGTCGCCGTAAACAGAGACGAGCCTGTGGGGACGATGCTTTGGGACGAAAACCTGCGGTACATGTCCTGGTGGTTTAGTTTTGACCCATTCCCTTTTGGCAACATAAGTGCAGGTGAGTCAAAAAGTCCAAGGGACAGGGTCACCCGAAAGCTCACTTTCATAGGCAGCCTTGTTGAAAAGTCATGATGGGTTGGTAAATGGACGGCATAAACCCCAACCCCATCCATGTCCATCCAAACCAACCGATCAACAGGGAACCTATGCCTGAAGACGTTTGGGGTGAAGGAACCCAAAGATCTCAGGGAATTTGTGGGGCGTTTTGCCCCTGAGGTGCAGGAAGGGACCGATCAGCGACTTTTTGTTGGTTCAAAGGAATCTCTTGTCAGGGGAGCGACTTTTTGTTGGTTCAAAGGAGTCTCTTGTCAGGGGTCCGCCTCGAGAACAAAGCATGACCGCCACCGCATCCGTTTAACGCCAAGTCGTCTCCTTGGGAACCCCCCCCCCTTCCCCCCCCCCCCTTCCCCCCTTCCCCCCTTCCCCCCTCCCCCGACATTCTTGGGACCGCATCCAAAAACGTCTCCTTTGGGTTCCCCCTTTTTTGACCACCTCCTTTTCCAAAATAATCGAAGACCTCGTCAGGCGGACCCCTTCTTCATGGACCGGAAGTTCAACGACCCCAACCCCGGGACCCGGCGGCGGAGCACCTTCGCCGGGCGCCCGGCGGTGCCTGTGCCGCTGGCCCAGGCGAGACTTTGAAACGGGAGAAGTTTGCGGAAGGGTGGGGCAGGGGAACCAAAGGGAAGCACACCGGGTTATTTGTTTTTTTGGTTGTTCTTACTTGTGTCTTCTTTCTTTATTTTTTTGTTCTTTGGGCGGAGGGGGGGGGGGGGTACTCACCTCTTGTTCTTGTTCTTTCTCCCTTTTTTTGTTGGGGGAGGGGGGGTCCCCCATCTTAAGACACATCCATGTGCCTTAAAATAGTGCCCCCCCCCCCGGCATTTGTACGTTCTGGCTAAGTGCCTCGGGGAAACCACAAAAAGGGTGTTTGTTCCTCTCGTGTCCCTTCAAACACACCAGAAAAAAAAGGATAACCTCAACAACAAGAACATATGTCGTCTATCCATGTCGGGACGAGAAGGGAGACGACCTCTAATTTTTGACCAAAGTCAGGGAACGAGCCCGAAACAAATCATCCATGTCCTGTTGGGAACAAGTAAGTTTCAGTCCTTCCGAACTTGGCAGTTTTTGGCGGGGTTTTCGACAAGATGGGCTGAAAAGAATGTGGGAGCAACCTCTAACGGACACAAGACAGGGGGACGAGAGTGAGAGTTCCTTTAACATCACCTTTTGCTTGCCAACTTGAGTTGCTCTTTGGAGATGTTTGGAGTGCCAAGACGGAAAAACCGAGTCGAACGAACCGTGCCCAAGCTTAGCCAGATTGCTGAACGCAATTTCAGCCAAGCCAAAGCGTTATCCACGAACAGACCAACACGTACCTACAGCCATAAATCACCCCTACTTTCACAGCGCGATCCAAAATGGATCAGAGGGAAACAGGTCAAAAGACGCCAGTACTTGGGGTTAACAGAGATGGCCATCCGCCTGGTAGTCTCACTCCCTGAGTTCATGAACTTTATTCACTGTTGGGTTTGGACAGTTTTAGTGACAAACAAAAAGTAACACATGTGGTTACAGTACTTGTTTGTTGCCAATCCACTCAGGAATGGTAGGGATTATATAATAGCCATAGGGAACCATGACTTTCCAGCCATATTATGGCTTTCCTGGTTTTGTTTGGTTTTCCTTGGTTTGTCTTCTGAAAAGAGTTTCGGGTTTCCCTCGGCGAGGGGTTTTCCTGTTGGCTTGGTTGGCAGGACCCGGTGGCCGACTGGCTGAAGCTGGGGGATACCAATCAGGACACCTCGCGGCTGCTGCAGCTTCAGGCTGTGGGGTGGGGGGCGGGGGAGGTGGGAGGTGATGGGGGTGACGGGGGCGATGGCGGTGATGGGGGTGATGGGGGTGATAGGGGTAATGAGGGGATGGGGGGATGGGGGGATGGGGTGGATGGGGGTGGGGGAAGGGGAGTGCAAGAGAGTGTTGTTGTCAAAAGGTGTTTGAGAGAATGAAACGGAAGGGGTTTAAAAGGGGGTGGGGGGTTGCAGCAAGCCTGTGAGGCGGGTGGTGCTCAGTTCCTTTCTACACTCCGGCCAACCAGCATGGAACCCCGGAGTCCTTTGCGTTTTCGAGCAACCTTGTGTGTGTGTGTGTGGTATTCATGGGGGTACCTTTTCTACCTTGGTTTGAAGGGACACCAAAGAGAAACCCCACACATTTGGAGGGTCCAAATGGACCTCTTTGGGGTTAATCGCGTGGCACACACACACACACACCGGAGAAAAGAACAGCGTCCGTTTCAGAACTGGACCTCGGAAACTCTGTTTTTTGACCCTGGTAACTCAGCTTAGCCGTTGCCTGCTCCCTACCACTTTTGATTCGGGATGTTGAGCTTCTTGCTCCTGTGTCCCTGGCACGGACTCTGGAACATGGACGCCTTTTTGGTGTTCTTCCGGAAAAACGGTGCGGGTGTGTCAAAATAGGTCCATCTTCTAAGGCGGCTTTTGGAGTTCCTGTTCATTTCCCTGAAAAGAAATATCAGCCAAAAAAGGGTCCGTATCCCACTTTGAGAAATGTGTTTAAGTTGGTTTCAACAAGACACCAACGGGACAACAACCGCTTTAAGCGGTCCAAATCCTATTTTGAGAGAGATCCATTTGAGAGGTGAACACCAACCAGTTTGGGCGCACCTTCGAAGACCGCACCCACTCCTTTCTGGTGCTGGAGCGCCCTGCCAACGTGCCCCAGGCGGGGTGTCGGTGGCTGTCAAACCCAACGGAGCTTGTAACGTAGTTGTGCGGGAAAACCTCAAGTGGGGCAGAGATTTTAAGGGCCTCCCCGCAGGGATTTCGACTTCTTGGCAGGTATCCGACTCAAAGGGTAGTTTCGTTGTGATCGGCTTCAAGAGTATGAGGTTGTGGCAAAGGGGAGCCCAAATTCTGGTGGTCCTTTCGTTTCCTTTGTCAATCCTGGAATTGCAACTGATTTTTTAGGGGAGCCCAGCCAAATTTAGGTGTTCCCTTTGTCAAACATTGAAATCTATTCCCGCTCAAAACAAAAGCCACCGAGCCCCACATGCTCTTTGCGACGCGAATTGCAGGCCCAGCGCATCGTGAACTTCAATGTGCGCGGCCGGCGTGGCAACATCGTGCAGGCGGGGGGAAGGAAAACCCAAAGAATGGGGAACGTTGTGATGGCCATATGTCGGAGTTTATGGCCTTATGTTCAGGAATGCTGAGCCACATAACAGGGTTTCCGAGCCATGTGTCAGGGTTGCCGGGCCATTTCCTTTTAAAGGGAACCTCCGACAGTGGAATTCGATCGTTTAGGGAGCCGCTGGAGTTCTCGAAAAGCCAACGCCCAAAGGGGAGTGTCCACAGAATTCGCTGCTCAAGCCTTCCGATGGGGGACCTGTAGGCGCTTCCCACGGCAGTCTTAGAGCTGTGCTTTTGATTTCCCTTTCAAACCCTTCATTGGACCCTCAAACTGGGAGATTGCCTCGAACTTTGGGCAGTTTTCCTGCATGGCTAGGTTGAGAATCCCGGGTATGAGGTTAGATTTCTCAAAGTCACCAAGTAGGTAGAGACCGTGTCATGGATTTTCACCAATTTTATTGATAATTAGGCTGACAAATTTGAATTTACCATTCTCCAAGTCAACTGGTAGGTAGGACCATGACCACTTCCGTGGGTTTGGGCACATTGGTGGGACCCGCAGGTTTATTCCCAACGAAGGCTTACCTTTTGACTTTTCGCCTGTGTCCATCATTCTCCCTTTCAAACATTTTCCTTGTGGGCGACCAGTGTCCAACATGTTCCTTTTGGTTTTCCATTTCATTTCCCCAACACGCTGACTACAGTCATCATTTTCCATCATGTCCCATTTCATTACTCTACTTCACTTTCCATTCCTTTCACTTTCAAACAGAAACAGCTACGTTCGTTGTTCCGTCCATTCTGAGGGTGCCCTTGGGGTTTGATTTAAAGGAACACCAAAGAACCGCCCAAAACCACCATTTTGGGTCCCGTTCATCCCGGTGGGTTTTTGCGTGTGTGTGTGTGTGTGTGTGTGTGTGTGTGTGTGTGGGTGCGTGCGTGCGTGCGTGCGTGCGTGCGTGCGTGCGTGCGTGCGTGCGTGCGTGCGTGCGTGCGTGCGTGCGTGCGTGCGTGCGTGTGTGTGTGTGTGTGTGTGTGTGTGTGTGTGTGTGTGTGTGTGTGTGTGTGTGTGTGTGTGTGTGTGTGTGTGTGTGTGTGTGTGTGTGTGTGTGTGTGTGTGTGTGTGTGTGTGTGTGTGTGTGTGTGTGTGCGCGCGCGCACGTGCGCATGTGCGCGCGTGCGCGTGCGCGTGCGCGTGCGTGCGCCTGCGCGACTGCGTTCTTGCGTGGCCGCGGGTCCTGGGTGGGTGCCTTCGAATCTGCGTGTGTGGGTGTACGCGTGTGTCTGTGTGTCTGTGTGTCTGTGTCTGTGTGTCTGTGTGTCTGTGTGTTTGTGCGTCTGTGCGTCTGTGTTTGTAGTGGGCTTGTGTTATGCGATGCCAACGGGAACCCACTCATTCTGGGGGCTATGACTGTTGGCGTCCCCAATCAAATTTCATACCCATACCTGCTTCAATGTAGCGACCTCACCTACCGGGTCCCTTACATGTTGGTGGTGAAGGAAGTACCGTAGTTGTGCAGTGGCTTTGGGAGCCTGGTTCCATGCTCCTTTGAGGGAAAACTACCGAGTTTACGTCTAGCTGGTAGTCAAACAATATCAAGCGGATGTTCAAGGTTGCCTCCAAGTCTTGTAGATACAGACGGCCAAACGAACATACTCCAAAGCAACAGGTCGAACGCATCGTTGACATGTTCATTCTGACGGCTGGATTTAATAAAGGTGTGCGATTCCCGCCTCCTTCAAAGAAAGCTAGAATGTCGTGGGAACACTGCCCGGCGGGAAATATACAACTCCTCACATCATGTTTGTTGTTCTTTTGTTCATTAATTTATTCCATTGAATTTAATTCAATGCAGTTCAATTCCTTGAATCATTCATCCATCCATCCATCCATTCATTGAGCGGCTCCGGATTCCCAGGTGGCTGGACTCTACGCAGCAGTCTTTTGACACTGGATTCCTGCCCTGTGAGTCATGACTATCAAGCGTCAAGCGACTTGGGGCACTGACACCCCAAGTCTGCCTTCCCTTCAAATTTTCTGCATATCCTCATATCCTGGTTGACACGTTGTAACCTCTTAGGCTCTTCAGGGGGGGGGGGGACCTGAGATTTTTGCTTGCACTGATCTCTGCAACCCGAGACTCGTGCTCCCGCTTGGGATACAACGCAATTTGACAGGCAGCCTTGGCTTTGCATTGTATCCCGTGCATTGTATCCCGGAAGGATGGGAGTGTAATCTTCTCATTGTTTTGCTCATTTTCCTTCCAGGTGTACCCTGCTGTGGAATACGACTTCGTCCCGCAGGACCTCAAGGCTCGGCCCAAAGCGTCGCTAGAAAGGACATTCAAGGCCTGGAATGGGTGGCTCGTTTTTTTTAGGTTGCACCCAAATTTTGGTGGTTTCCCTTCTGGCTTTCCTTTAATCTCAGGAGAAGCCAAAATTGGTTGGGTTTGGTGTTGGTGTTCCTATAAAACCACCAAACCCACTAAAAAGGGAGAAACGCCCCAAAGTGTTTCCTGTATTTCCCCGAAACAAGAATCTCCAACGCCGAAAAGGTGACCATTTGACACCACGGAAAAGGGACATTGCCACAAGTGGGCCCTGACTCAGAATCGTGTCCCCTTTTTGTCGGGCCGCTGGGGCGACTGGGACACACCACATATTGTAGCAATCCTATACAGCGGGAAATGTAGAAGCCTTCGGGGTCTCTTTGCGGGTGGGGGGAGGGGGGGGTTGCAAGGCCCCTAAAAAACAAAAAGGGCAGCTTCCAACATGGTCTTGAGGCTGCCCCCTTTCTGGGGGTGGTGTTAAAGGAAAACAACAGGAAATCCATAATTTTGGTTCCGTGGGGGAGGCTTGGGGGTTACTGGGTGTTTTTAAGTTGTTGGCTCTTATTTGCTGCATTGGTGGCTTGTTTGTCCCTGTTGTAACAACCGCTGACTCATGGGAGCTTGATATCATTGAGGTCGCCAAACCTGGGCCAGTCCCTTCGCTGAAGACGGACTGGGCACTGGAAGGCCACCAGAGGGTTTTGGAAAACAACCAGAAGGGGATCCCCGTGAATCGAAACCAAACGGGCACTGGTTTCAAGCCATCAGCAGCTCTGGTTCCACTGAACCCCCGTGGCTCGTTTCGAAAAAGCCGTCAGGTGGAGCAGGGCACTTTGCTCCACTTCCAGTGGACGGGCTCCGACGCCAACAACAATAACAACGCGGGGAACGGCCGTGCTGGGACTGACCGCTCCAACCTCGTGCAGGCGGATCGGTGGCTCATGGGTGGTGACCCTCCTGAAACAAAGCGGCTGTCATAGCATAGTTTTGGGAGTCCACGAAAAGGAGATGCCTACAACAAGGGGCGCGTGTTCTTGTTTCTTTTGCTTTTGGGGGCGATGCGGGTGGGAGTTCCATGTGAATTTGCCGAGATGCGACCTTTCTTCCCTGGCTTAGGCCGGTGTGATGCGTTCTTTGTTGCATCTCTCCTTTTGGACCGGCAGGAAACCGCTGTCATTGTTGGCTCTACGTTTCCCTGGGCAATTATACTTCGCTCGGAAGGACCACGCCTTCGTTTCATGGCCATTTTGATGTTTCCAGCTTGAACGGTGGAATGATTGATTATATGAGGAACTAGATGCATCACGCAAATGAAGGCCCCTTAGGAATCCCCCTGCGAATACGGACGCACCAGCCGACCAGACACAAAACTCAGGATGTGCAGGGTTGGCACAGGAGGTTTCTCAAAATGGGTGTCTTTTCTTAGGGGGATCCCCAAAATGGTGGATGTTGCTGTTGGTTTCCCTTTAAAACCACAAACAAGGGTAGCCTCAACTGAAATGACAAACCCAACTGCCTTGGCCCTGAAACTTCGCTGTTGGGGGGCTTGGGTACGGTTGCCCCTCTGAGATATGGTCTTGGGGAATTTGAAGCAAGAAATGTGAAGGCCGAATGGTGGAACGGCCTATCCCTTGGGCCTGGGAAACCAAACAGGCCGCAAGCATAGAGGGCGAGTTGCCTCCTTCACTTTCATGACAAGACCACTACCTTGTGCAGACTTGATCGAGTTCTTGCTTTCTTGACTTCGACGGATGACGAGTCGGTGAGAATGTGTTTCCGCATGGCCACAAGGGTCTTCCCTAAAATGGCGCCATGCGCGGCTCCGAAATGTCCTGACCCCTGGCCCGTTTTTGCCCATTGCAGGGCCATCTTGAGAGTTCCATCATTTGCTTAAGAATAGTTGTTTGTTCCCCTGTTAGGTTGAAAGGGAAACAAGTTCACTGCTGGACATATTTACCCCATTTTTCCTTTGGGCAAAAAAGTTTGGCTATATAGCTGCACAACAGCTGCAGCAATGCTTCAAAACAGCTATGTTGCAAGCCCAAATACGTACTTGCCTCCCTGCCTATCTATGATAATATAATGTAAGCCTCCCCAACACATTCAGATGCGTATGCGCATGCATGCGTGTTCAGGCGCACCTTGTAATGGGCGCCTGAACCCAGCTGCCATTTGGGGATTCGAAGCCCTGAACCCAAATACCAAGCCACCAACCCCAAGTCAGCCCGAAGGGGTTGTTGGGAGCTCCTTCTGCCATGTGGCATTGAGTTGTTATAGAGAACCACCTCAGAGGTGGTTGGTGGCCCTGATGACCTCACCTAAAGGATGCCCACCAAACGGTCCTTTACAAGAAAGAATGCACCCGATGGTACTGGTTTCAGTTGTTGCGTTCTATTCAAGACGATTATCCATGTTGAATAGCCCAACACTGTTCGAACTTGATTAGTGAACCCCTCTGAGCAAAGGCGCCCACAAGGTTTGGCCACGCGCTTTATTTTAACAACACCATTGTTTTTTTGTTTGTTTTTTATTGGGGGGGGGGGGGGGCGGCATCTCCCGGAACATCCCCTGAGAAAGGGGGTTTACTAATCAAGTTCCAACATGACAATGCGTCGCTTCCTTTGTGCAGGTGCAGTCCAGGTCGGAGACAGTGCCACTACCCTTGAGCAAGCACACCCTGCCGCTTTGGCTCAAGAGGAAGGCCTGATCTAAATGGGATCCGTACCTGATACCCTCAAACCCAGCCTACTCTTTGTTGGGTGTGTCCCTTTTTCAGGGGACCTCCAAAACGGTTTCGGTTTGCCTCTTCCCTTTCAAACCTACCAAGCAAGATGCAAACAACTCCCAAGATTCCACCTGAATGGGATCCGGTGCCCAACACACGACACAGATGATCCAGCAACCTAACCCTTGGTCGGAAACTCCGAAACCCAGGATTCACACATAGAATCCCCGCAAACCGAAAAAAAGTGGAAAGAGGGTGGCCGAATTCCATTCAGGGTTTGCATTTTTCCCTTGGAGGGGAAGCCTGGATCCCCCCAGCCCCTCCTGCCTCTTCACTCCATATGTCCCCCAATGGGGGGGGGGTTAGACATCACTTTCTTGGACCAACAAATCGGTGAGATTCTTGGTGATGTCGGCTGGAAGGTCCAGACTGTGCGTGGTCTTTCTGTGGTGGGTTCCTGGACTTGGGTGCGTGTGTTTTTAGGGCTTGGACCCCCAAAATGGCACACCGGTGTTCCTTTGGTTTCCGTTTAAAACTTCCAAAACGGGGTAGGCACGCCCACTTTGCGCCTTGTTTGTGATAAGACAATTTCTTTGGAATTCAGCAGGTTTGCATGTGTTTGGCGCATCCACTCAGGACCTGAGTAATGGGAGCCTCGGAATAACAAACCCCTGTTTGCTTCATAGGCCCCCCCCCCCCACATAAATAGGATGGGTTTACGAATCTCGGGTTCGCATTCCTGGGGGTTCAAACCGCAACTAAAACAATGGGGGTTCATATAACCACCACATAAGGATTGTAATCATCCAATTTGGGTCACAAGGACCTGTCTTTTAATGGTGGGCTTTGGGAACCCCAGGATGTCATCATCCAATTGTGTCATCTTTTCTTTTAATGAGGGTTGAAGCTTAGGGGGATGGGTTTATAACTGCGTGTTGTTTTTTTTGTATCGCTTTGGTGAGGCTCTTCAACGCCCTGGCGAACCCCGATGACCCCGAGGGCCGGCGCCTGGCGGACAAGTTCGCGTACCTGGACCAAGACTCGCCTCTTTGGCCAGCAAGTCGTCGGCGTCCGTGCATGTCCGCGGATTTTCGTTGGTGCCAGTGGTGCCGGTGGAGTTTCCTTTAGGGTTCAGGGTTTACCAGAGGTTTTTTAAAGGGTTGGGTTCCGGGTTGAGATTTCTTGGCTTCCTTGAATGTCTCCGAATGGCTCCGGGGTGAGGACCGTTCTGATTTGGAGGGCTACGAGAAGATGGGAAATTCAAACAACCCCCCAAGAAAAGAACGAGGTATCCCCATAGCCCGGGACTGGAACCCGCTGAAAGCTGCTCCGCCCTGGCCTCTGGGTTCAATTTGGAGAGATGTTTTTTTTGCAGGCGGTTGATGTTTACAAGGGACATGCGAGGAACCCTGCCAAGCAGCACGGCCAAAAGTACCACATGGTTCTGGGCCCATGATCTTGAATTCGGTTGGCCTTTGTTCTCCGTCCTGCCACTTCAGGGGTGAATCTGAGAATGGTAAAATCATCAAGGCTGGTGGTTGCTTTGGTTTGCTCACCATACACTCCTTTCTCGAATTTCACACGGGGCACCTGGGGGTGAGGCTTGGAAAACTTCTTAAACGACCAAGTCTTGGTGCTCTCAGAGAAACGGAGGTTGTTTGAATCGAGGTTTAAACCTACAGTTGACCAGTGCCACCTTCTGTCGCTGTTCGGGGGTTCTCCTCTCAAATGGGTGGGGGTTGTTTACCACTGGGCAACGGGTTGCCACGCTTCAGAGGTTATTTTGTTTGTGGATTGAATCGGCCTAGCTGTTGCATCTCTTTGCTACGAAATGAAACCATGGCTGAAACCATGGTTTGCATCATTCCAGGGTTTCCCAGGCGTACAGGATTTTTTCATCCACAGCACAGAACCCCTTGGCCAGTGGTTGGTGCACATGAATCCCCTGCCAAAAGATGATCCGCCAACTTCACCATGTAGTAGGAAGCTGGTTGGCTCAACGGGAAACCAACAAAGGATTGGTCTCAAGTCTTGCGCAAGCGCGCAAGCGCGAAGCTGTTTGCTGAGGATCGTGACCTGTGACCCGGACACCAACAACCAGAACTCGGAGACCAACTGCATCTCGTCCGGAGTTGCCAGTTGACCCGTTCCATTGGTGGCAAAATGATGAACATCTCCAAACTATGTGTTTTACTCTCGGCTTTCTTTCAAAACCAACCAAAAGCGGGTTCTCTCAAAGCAGACAAACCCAACTGGTCTCTAACAAATGGGTTCTTTTCGTAAAACCCATGATTGTCCTCTGGTGCAAGTTGGAACCCGTTTACTGGAGCCTGTTTAGTTTCGCTGAGCCATGGGACATTACAATGCACTGGCACAGTGAATGATATGTGATTGCCAGACGATTGCCCCTTTTGCCCTTTCCAGCGAACTCTTATTTTTGTGTTGCAGGGCGTAAGGTTGGCCATGTTGCTTTGTCCAGTTTACCCATTAAACCAACATACCTAGCAAACAACATACCCAGTTCTCTAACATAGGTGAGGGTAAACATAGGCTTTGCACCACCCTTTTTGTGCCAAGGGACCAACCAAGTCGCAATGGCCCATTTCGATACGGCAAAGTTGTATGTTCCACCGTGTGGACCGGAGTGCCACATGTTGCTGAGCCGTTCTTTTGGCTGGCTGGAAAGGGATGAGCCACGCATTCTTATTTTGAAACCAAAGGACACACCAGCCACATCCATCGAACAACTCACACACATCCTATTTTCCTTGTTCGGAGATGGGTTCCCTTCGATTTTTTAAAATCTAGCAAGAGTATCTATGCCAGATTTGGATATTGATTTTTGTCAAGAAAGAAGAGATGAAGTAATAGAATATGTAAAACAAAAATATGCCAATAATAAAGTAGCTCATATAATTACATTCGGAAGTCAAAGTCAACCAACAAACAGGATGCCCTTTGGGCCCGTCTTTGATTGAGGGTACTCTTTCTTGGGGGCGGGTTTTACAGGGAAACCAAAAGAAAAACCGTCGCACCATGTCGGAGGGGTCTCCTAAAACAGACACGCCCCTTGTTTCTCTCATATAGAACCCCCCCACTGGTGCCTGCAGGCCGGCGATCGGCTCGAGCGAGCGCGCGTAGCGAGCGCTGAGGCAAGCAGCTGAACGGCGCCTCCGCCTACTTCGACGGCGGCCTGGTGGAGATGAAGACGGTGGGCACCCATCACATCGCATCCACCAGGACCTGTGGCAAGCGCCAAAAGGGGTGGGGCAAACGGGGTGGAAAACTCTTTGGGAATGGGTTCAATTGTGAGGCAACAAGGACTTGGCGGCTCAGAAGTAGCCATCCGGTTCCTTAGCTTGTCAGGTTTTTAGGGTTTGGTAGGGGGTTCCATCTAACCCACTACAAGTCAAACTTTGAGCAGGGGATGAGTTTGGACAGCTCAGAACAGAACTGCTGATCAACCTGGTTACAACGTAGGTGTGGCTGATAGCCCGTAAACATACTGTCGGACGAAAAGATCACCCGCTTTGGCGTTTCGGTTTGCACTTTAGCGCGCTCCGATGTTTAACATTGGCAGCTGTTGCGGGAGGGAGGGGGTGAATGCCAACATTGAAAAGGGGGGCATCGCGCTGAGTGCGCGGTCTGTGGCACAATGTGGTTGGAGGAGGCGTATGGTTTATGGGGAGGACCAAGTGCTCACCAAACAAAAGGGTTGGGGGACGGGACATGCATGCGGGTTGTCAAAGCCATGGTTTCAGGGCCCGGCAGTGAAAAAGGCCCCAACTCCCTTTAAAAGTTGGTCAACCCCACAAAGACCCTCCTGCCCACATTGCCACGGAACTTGACTGGACATACTGGACCATGTTCCTTTAAAAGAAACCCTTTGGACAGGAGGGTATTTCCTTCCAAGGTCAGCGCGCAGCTGAGGGGCATTTGTGCCCAGTGGCACTGGGATCAGTGGAAATCAGCTTACGTGTTAAGTTCACTGAATGTGGACCAGAATCGCGTTTTGGGGCTGGGGTAAAAAGCTGAAGTAGCTTTTGCCAAAAGACCTTTATTTTTCGGGTACTAGGGATAGTCATGCACCCATCAAGGAATTTGGACAACTAGCACAAGGAATTCCATTAGCGCCGTGACCATAGCTCACTCACGGGGAAATTCGGACGGCACAGAATGGCACGGGGGTTTGTCCTGAGGGGTCCCCAAACCGGGGGTCTCGAGGACCAAAGCTCACGCCCGAGCAAGCTGAATCAAGCCCAAGTTGGTCAAAGAGTTGGATTGGGCCCTTCCGCTCAAAGCCAAAGTTCACTCAAGGTCCAATTTAAAATGTTCAGCATTCAACAATCCGCTTCGGAGGGCATCTGAAGTTGCGGGCGCTGGTTTTTTGGGCGTTCAATCGACGCCCAAAATCGAGTGTTGTCAGCCGTCAGCCACAAAGAGCTCAATCAAGAGCTCTGGCCATTGCGAGTACTGTTTTCCCCATTTCTAGTCAACTGTTTTCCCTCTTGCAGGCGGTCCCACCGAAAAGCCCCTGACTCTCAGCATCCCGCACGAATTGCGAGGCACGATCTAAGCTGCAGGAGGTGCGAGGTGTGCATGATTATCAATCCAGATGCACCGCACATGTGTCACATGTCTTTCGAAGTGTGTATTTCACAAGAAAATACACATCCAGTTGAATACATAAAGTCATGCATGCAGGGTGAAGTTCATGGTGTGTGTCTTCCAGCTTACCCTCCCACCAATTAACATGGAACCCGACGTTCGGGACCCGGGTCCTTTCAACATGGTCCAAACCGGGACCCCCCCCCCGAACGTTAGGTTCCATGTTAATTGGTGGGAGGCTAGGTTGTTTTTTGTTTGTTTTGCAGTTTCTACAAGTGTCATCAATGGGGTCAACGTTGACCATTCTTTAAAGGGCAAGGAATCCTAGGGTGCTTGTTATTTTTCTTGCTGCTCAGCAGGGAATAAGAAGTGGAAAGACCCCGAGAAGGAAAAAACATATCCCCTATGGTTTCCTTTATTCGGGAATCCCAAAACGGTTCATTCCCTCATTCCCTACCTATCGCACCAACGAGTCAAGGGAATGGCTCGTAGCATGGACTGGAACGACATCTTTTTTTTGTACGCAAATGACAAAGCTGAGAGGAACAACGACTTCTCCAACCGGTCCCACAAGGCCCAGATCACCGTGACCCGCCGCTTGGGTTTAATTTAACTTGTTTTGCTGGTGATTTTCTTGGAGGTGGCTGGTCGACCGGGACCTGTAAAGGGAACCAATTGTCTTCCATTTGCTGAAATGAATATTTTGTATTTGAATTTGCCTTGTTGGCGTTAAAGCTTGAATCGATTTCACTACTGGTAATACGTGTATGTTTTCCAGGAGGCTTAGGCAAATGGAAGATGCTTACAAAAGGTGATCGACCTTTTTGCAGAATTGCTGCCCACCCATTCACTGGGACATCCCCCTGTACCAATTGGCTGGGTATGCTAGCTGATTGCTACTCACCATGTGTGGATGGACAAAATCCATTTCGAACCAGTTGGCAGGTTGCCACCCCCAACTGGTGCAGGAATTTGTCCATCCACGGGGTACATGAGGCCATGTCGATGCCGCAGCATGGTCGTTTGAGAGGGAATCCAAAAGGAAACCCCGCCGAGCCTTCGGCGCCCAATCCTGGTTGTAGGACACACCCATGGGCTTGTGCTGCACAAAATTGACACAGCTTGCGAAGCAAAACCAGCTCGGATTGGGAATCATAGTTCGGCAACATGGGGTGTTTCCAAGAAAGAAGCTCCGCCCTGCCATGGCTAGTTTCTTGGCATCCCTTTTCCGTGCATCCACGTGTTTTTTGGAAATACACGGGGACCTCCAAACATGGGGAGCCCAAAAGGTGGCGGGCACTTCGTTGTGGCTGCTGTTCGCTTCCTTCCGAATATTTGCAAAGCACAGAAGGTTGGGTGAAACTTACTAGTCTGTGATCCATTTGGAAGCGAGAAGGGGGAGGAGCTCTAAGTTTCAACCACCAGGGTCCGAGCCCGAGCCCCAGATGTTGCCATGCCCTCTTGGGGATCTTGGTAGCCCTGAAGAAGCCTTGGACTTAAAAAAAAGAACCAAACTGATACTCACCCAATTCCAACCACAACTAGGGGACTCACCAACTTCTCGGGGAAAGAACATGATTTTTCCCTCGGCTGCTACTTTCAGGGTTCCGGAGATTCGGGTTTCCGGGGGGTTTCCCTTTGGGCTGTTGGGGATACCTGGGGCTCCTTTGCCGATGTCTTTAAGGATTCTCTTTGGAGATCTACGAGAACATCGCTGTCGGCGTGGGCGGCTTCTGCTTTTTGGTGCTCTTCATCTACGTCTGCTGCGCGATCCACGCGTGCCGGAGGTGTGGGCCAAACGGAAGGGCCACGGGCCCCGGGATGCGAGCTTTCATGGCAAGCTGAGATTGAGGTGCCTTAGATAGGTCCCAGGGTCGTCCCAATCCAAATGTGCGTGTGGTGGTGGACCCATCATGTTTGTTTCGGGGTATCTTGCATGGTAGGGGTGGGTAGCAGACCTCAACTCAGCTTCTAACACTAGCTCGCCAGTTTCTGGTCTTCAGGTTGTGGGTGTCCCTTGGTCTGAGACCGCGTGGAACGGTAAAGGACATTCCTAACTACTAGGCGCGGATGTCCACCCTTTGAGTTCTTTTCGCCTATGGCCAGACCAAAACAAACTACCTACGGGTAAACCTCTTGATGGTTTGGGGGAAACATCGCTTTGCCGGGTGATTTGGGTGTTGTCCATTTTTTCGAGGTGACCCCTTGGTGGGTGGTGTTGAAGGGAACCCAAAAACGCAGCCCCACCCATTTCGGGGGTTTTTCTGGGACTCGCCGCCAGCGCCAGGCCTGGCAGTTGGCTCTTCAGCCGCCGGTACCGGCCGCGGCTGCTGCACTGGGTGCTGCGGAAGGCGACCATGGAGCGGCTACTTGAAGAGCGACGTCAGCTGGTGGCCAAGCAGAGGAGAGGGTGAGGGGTAGTGGGTGGGGGGGCTTGCCTGTTAAGATACTCATTCTACCGAATGACCGACCCGTTGATTTGAGGGATGGATGTTCATCGTTAAAACACGTTTTTGCGAATCCCATCGGCAAGTAAACGTATCGTCAATTTAATAATTCAACTATTATTTTGTGACCAACTATCTTAGGGCACCAATTCCGGACTCCTCGAGTTCCTGGACTTCAGAAACATGTTGAGCTGTAAATATACCCAGTTTGGTTACTTTTATAGATCCACTCAGGAAGTGAGATTCCTATGATCCTATTTGGTGTGTCTTCTTGTGGGGAACCCCAAAATGGTGGTTCTCCTTTGGGCGTCCCTTTTTGAAACCCACAAAAGAGGGGTGCCCTGAAAAATGGACGGACCCACGTTAAGAAAGATCCAATTCGCAGGAAGGAGTGGGCCAAGAAGGCCAACGCCCACGCCGCGGACGAGGAGGGCGCCGACGTGGGCGCGGCAGAGGTGGCATTGCCCGAGGAGCAGGCGGGCTCGAAGGGGAATGAGGTCAACCTCTGACCAAGGAGGCATGAACCATGGTTTTCCGCCATTTTTCCAACTCGAAAAAGCAGGGGCTTTTGCCTCATTCACGGTTCCCCGGTTTTTCTTAAACATTTTCCAACGAGTTCAACTCACCGGCCCCTTCCATCGAAGCTTCGCCGACATTCGAGGTGACCTGGTTCCAGGGCTTGACGCGCTGCTTCCGGAAGTGCGGCTTCGGGGAGCAACAGCTCACCACCTTCATGCCGCGGTGCCGCATGGATTTGATCCAGCCCGAGACACCCACGCTGGGGAAAACATTAAGGGCACACACACAATTTTGGTCCCAAAGAATCTCAAATGGGTAGGTGGGTGGGTGGTCGGGCGGGCGGGTGGGCGGGCGGGTGGGTGGGTGGGTTGGTGGACCGACCTCCAAAAACCGCTGCAAGTGTTTGGATTTCACGGATTGCAATCGAGTTTCCACTCATGGAAGCAAAAGACCCTCCTCCCCTTTATGGAGCAGGTTGGGTGGAAACACCATGACGGTGCCCAGTGTTTTGCTGGTTTCGGGCCTAGCGCAAAGAACATGTTCCTTGGTTTCCCTGTAAGCCAATGTAAAAAGGGGTACCAACTCCAAAAACACACCTTTTTAGGGGTTGATACAGTGAAACCTCCAAAACGAAAATGAGACCCTGTGAGCAATCTTTGCAAAGATCCCCTTTCGGCTCTCTCCCAAAACCCCTCAAACAATTCCCTCAAGTTCGGGTCTCCAAGCAAAGCGGGCCCAGGTAACCCCCCCCTGGCCGCGGAGGGCATGCAACCACTTTGTTGCGTGTTCGTCATGTGGGCTCGTCTTTGGGATTTGGACTCCCAAAACGGCGGATGTCCGGTCCAACCACGAAAAAAGGGGCAACTCAGGTGAGCTCAAGGGCATGGGAGCAGGCTGCAACGCCTGCAATAGTCAAATAGTCACGCGTCATGTCAACGCAGTTGATCAGCCAAGCTTCTATTTGCTGAGTGTTTGTTTTAACCTGTTGGTCAAGGGAACCGATGTATCGCTGCAGACATAGGTTGTTTTGTCCAGGGTGGGGGGAAGACACAAACAAACTTTCCAGCCGGTCAACCGGCCCTCCCACGAATCAGTTCGAAGCGAAGCGAATGCCGAAGCTTGGAGCGGTTGAGCTGAGGTTTGGGGTGCTGAACGTCTTGGTCTTTGCCATTGGGTTTTTGTCCAACTTGAGCGGCGGCTTCCAGAAGAGCTGGGCCTTCCCCATCGCCAAGGAGCCGATGGAGCCGCCCGCGTTTCGGATCGGATCGCGCGCGCGCATGGCGTGCCTGCGCGTGGCCGTTGTTTTTTTGGCGGAGTCCTGGTGGGCTGGGTTTTGAAAAGGGAGCAAGTCTTGCAGGTGGTTGGTTTACCCGGCTCTGTGCGTGTCTATATATATATATATGTTTGTTTTTGTTGTTCTGTGTGTTTTCTATTCTTTCTTTCTTTTTCTTTTTGGGGGAAGGACCCCTTTCTTTCCTTGGGGAGTTAAAGGGAAACCAAAAGGAAAATATGTATTTTTCTTTTTGGGGGGAGGACCCCTTTCTTTCTTTGGGGAGTTAAGGGGAAACCAAAAGGAAGATGATCCTTTTGAGTGGTTCTCACAAACATGTTTGTTGGAGGATCACACCTTGTTGTTCCGTGGGCGCTTGAAGGGGTTTCCTCAAACTTGGCCCTCTTCTTCAGTGGGGAAGGAGGGGAATGAGAGAACGGCCCTTATGAGCCATGTGGTTCATTAAGGGGATCGCAAACGAATCACTTGTCATGCACATCACTTGCTACGCATGAGGTTTGTCTATCGTCTATAGGGGGATCCCAAAACCCTGGCTTTTCTCTGTGATTATTTGGCGGGAAACGGGGGACTCCCTAAATGTAAACCACAGAGCCCAAACTTCCCCCCTCGGAAACCTTGGTCATTTGGACCATGGCTCATTTGGTTTTGTTTCTCCAACAGGGAAGGAGCAGGGCGGCCTTTTTCTGGCTGGTGCTCAGTAGGGAAGGCGGAAATGAACTTCGGGATCCCCTTAAAGGGATTCCACCAAGGGATGGTTTATAGGGGTCATTCCCACATTCCCTACCTATCGCACCAGCAAGTTTTGCTTCACCAGACTCAACCCCTCTGAAATCACTCGGATAGGGCGGCGGCTACTCCATGGACCTCAACTTTGCGCTGCTGATTCTGCCTACATTGAAGAGCCTGCAGACCACCATGAGGCACTCGGATCGCTGTTCTTTCTCTGTATCGGCGCTTGGGGTTCCAAACGAAGGGGCAAAAAATAGGGGAAGCCCGTATCCATGGCTGGTTTCTTTCCATTTACAAGCGCAAACAAGGAGTATTTTGAACAACACACACACACCAAACAAAACTGACAGTTCAATTTTCCAAAACGAATTTAGGGCTAAATACGACACAATCCAAAGGAGGCCAAAGGAAACCGTTGCCATTTTGGGGGGTCTTAATAGGACTGTAGTCATAGGTGGTTTAGATTGGTTTTATTCCATTTACAACGCCATCCATTTTACCAAAGGGACACCTATGACTGTCTTGCTGGTGCGATAGGCAGGGAATGAGAAATGGAACGACCCCGAGTTTCCCTCTCTTGGGAATCCTGAAAACCGGCTCATGCAACCACATTCCTCACCTCTGGCACCAATCACAAGCTGTCTTACACCCTTTTGGAGGGGCTCAACCTTTGCCTCCGCATCAAACGGCCCGGCATGCGTTGCGCATCGCCAGGTCAAACATCCGTCATGGTTTTCATGTGGGCAAATAACATGAATCAAAGACTATTCAAACATGTATGTATGTACATTCATACCGGATTTGCAACCAAAAACAAAAACATCTGCTCCCGCCCCAGTTCTTCCCCCCTGCACCCTCCTAGTCCCCCAACGTCAATGTTGTCAAAGAGCGCTGTGACATCTGAAGCCAATATGGGTATGTTTGTGTTTTTTTTCCACAGGCTACGTTGACAAGGGGCGCGTCAAACTTTGAATTTGGGGGGGGGGGGGGGGGCAAGGGAGTTGGCACCTGTTGTCAAAGTGAGTTTGGACAGATGGGCGCTGTTGTTGTTTTTCTTCCCCCCGCAGAACGCGGAATACACATCATTTTGTTCAAGTCAGCCTTTAAAGTGTGTGATCGTTTGTGGCTTGCTTACTTCCCCATTTTGTTTCGAGTGTCACCTGTTAGTAAGACACAGGACACCAACAACCAGAGGCTGTCAAATGTTTTAATGACGTCCTTAAGGCTACTGTTGAGGTTATTTCACAGCCATTGCGGGTAGGTGAGTGGGTGGGCGGGTGGGCGGGTGGGTGGGTGGAAGTGTGCGCTTTTGTTGTCAGAACAACAAACACACCAAAAGCAACACCACACAAACAACAAAACAAAACACAACCGCAACAACAAGAAGACAAACACAGCAACCAGACAAGAACCAGCAAAGCAACAAGCAGCAAAACAACAAACAACCAAAAACCAGAAAAATTAAAACATCAGATCGGCCCAAATTTATTTTGTCAGGCGGGTGAGTTCCTCTCGGGAGTGGGTGCCCATCGATGACCCTATCAACTTCCACATCGTCATCGCCAGCTTTACGATGCTCGGGGCCTTCGTCCACATCGCGGGGCACTGTGCGCCTCGGCGAACGCTGCGCAAAAGCGGCGCTTTGAAGTGCCATTGGTTCGGGGTCTCTCTTGGGTTCCTTAGACTACCTGGTTTTTTGTTGGAGGTTAAGAGGTTTCTGAGACTTTTATTTGGTTCCTTAGGCTTCGGTTTGCGTTTGGAGGTTTAGAGGGAATTTTGACCACTGCTGGCTTTTAGAAACGTTGCTCCGCACTCTGTGGAGGAATGGCAAGCAAGCATCAGCGCAGCTTCAGCTTATTGTTTGGGGGCTCCACACGTAAGCTCAGTTGCCCGTTTGTCAGTCCGCTTGTTGGACTTACCTTTTGGGTGGGGAATAATTTGCTCCGGGAAGGTTGTGGGGTCATCTTGGCGGCTTTAGGGGTCAAAGCCAGAAAATGGTTTCGGTGCTTCCCTTTAACATACCACACTGTGACATTGAAGTGGCAGCGGTTCCCCATTCTTTCCTGGCGGTCCCCTTAAAGGAAGCCACCAGTTGGATGGCTTATAGATAGGGGTTCACTCATTCCCTGCTGAGCACCAGCAAGTTTCCTTGGTTTCGGGGGGGTTCTAGACGGATCCCTCGTGGTGCACTTTGCCCCGGAGCGCCTGGTTCGGTGAACTCGTGGATTTCCTTATGTGTGGGAACGGGATATAGTTTGTTTATATATATATATATATTTATACAGACATACAGACACACACATATATATATGACTAGTTCGGTGATTTGTAACAGCTTTGGCACTGTGATCGGGGCGACCCAGCTTCGCTCACTTCGGGATCCCCGCATTTTGAACCCAGCTTTTTCACCCTCTGCTTTCTCTTGCCTTGCTGGATCGGGAATTTCAAGGGTTGAGACGGAAGAGGCTTCCCTCGCAAACCAGAGATGGTTCATAGGGGTCGCCCCTTTGCAATTCAGTGCCCCTAGGATACCCCTAGGGGCCAGTATTCCCTCCTCAGCATGCTGTGCACAATGGTTTACTCGTCAATCTTGGCGAAAAGGGTGTCCTTTTGTTTCCCTATGTTTCCCTTACCAACAAAAACACGGTCAATTGGACGTTGAGGTTGTCTTTGGGCAACCTCAGTTCCTGGAGATCCTCCTTCACCGGTTGATTTTCCCTCTCCTCCTAGCTGATTGAACCTAAATGGATTATACCCCAAGATTCTGCCCTATACCTCCCCGGGTTCTTCCCTTCTTGGGAACCATTTTGTCATCAGGTGCATCCTTGCGGAGTCCCCAAACTGGAAACTGGAAGTTGGATGGTTTTTGGACAATGGCAGACCGGCCGCCCGGAGGTGCACATGTACCTCATCCGCACTGCGCCTTTGATCCAGCTGGACCCTCTGCAGCTCTGGGATCTCACGCCCCAGGACTCCATCCGATCTATGTGTCGCGTTTCGCGTATCGCGGGCGGTGGGAACTTCGGAGGTCTGGGCCCTGCAGGGGAGTTTTGGGTGGGTGGGTCTGGGTGGGTCTGGGTGGGTGGGTGGGTGAGTGGGTGGGTGGGCGGAGTTTTTGGGTGGGTGGGCAGGTGGGCGGGTGGGCGGATGGGCGGGTGGGCGGGTGGGCCAGTGGGTGGGTGGGTGGTTGGGCGATTGGAAGTTGGATAGGCGGTTGGGCAGTTGGGGCTTGGTTGGGCGGTTGCTGTTGGGTGGGGCGTTGGTCGCCTCCAGGCCATTTCTTGTCAAAGCCACTTGGCAAAGACGCGTGTGATGTATGTGCTCAGCCGAACTTAGTTGGTCGCAGGAGAAGATGAGCGGCATGACTTTGTGGCAGCAGGTGCTCAACATTCAGATCCGTTGTGCTGGTCTCACGGGCATCATCCTCACTTTCATGATGGCTCCCTGGATCCGATTTAAGCAAAACATAACTCGATGCCGTTAGTCCCATCATTGCCACGGAAGTGGACGAATTGAGGGGTCCTGGCTTGGACGATTTTCCTTGCGGGAAGTTGTGGTGGGCTCCTTGGCAAAGTGGACAAGTGGACAGGTAGACCCAACTAGACAGGTTGTTTCCGAGTTCGTGAACCTGATTTCAAAAGATGCACCAAACTCCACAGGATGCCAAGCCGAAGTTCGCCAAAAAGTTCAGGGGATCCCCAGTGATCTTGGTGGTGCCCAGCTGTCCCCGTCCCCTTGGTTGTGAGGCTTTTAGGTGTTCAGTTGGCTTAGTGGTTGGGTTTCCGTATTTTACCCACTGAAAGTGAAGCTTTTGGCAGATCCAAATTGCTTTGGAGGGTTGGGTCGGACGGCAGAAAGGGAAAAGCCCAGGAACCAGGGTGAAACCAAGAGATCCTGAACAGCCGGAAGCTCCCAGAAGGCCCCATGGAACCAGGTCGTCCATTTCGGGATCCTGGCAGCTTCCATGTTCGCCTGGGGAACCCCTTTTTTGGTGGGGTTGGGGTCCAAGCTCAAAAAAGACACGCCCGAAAAAGGTCTGGTTCTCTAGGGGTACCTTTCCTTCCAGGGATCCTTCTGGTAGCAAGCCTCCAGAAACCCAGGGGAAGCGGCCAGCGTTTGAGAAGAGCGATGGCTGAACGGAATAGAAAAGGAATCATCCCCTAGAGGTTCTCTTAAGAACACCTTTTTTTAGCAACCTTAAAAAAGAGAAACAGACACACCAAATTTGCTGGCTCTGGCAAGAACATTCCCGGATGGCGGATGGGCGTACTTTGTTTCGCTTCGCTCGAGGTGGCGATTTTGCTGACCGCTGTCAGCTGCTCCCGGCGGGGCACAAACTGCCTCACGCGGCGCTTCTTCGGGTTTAACCTCTTCTGGCGGATCCACATGTCTTGGAAGCCTTTTGGCCGAGCCAAGCGGGGCAATTTGTTGATCCCGGATTTGTCCAAGTTCGGGGGCGATTTTTGGCCCAGTCAAGTTTTGCCTTGAGTCAAGTCGAGTCGAATTGAGTCGTTTTGGTTGGTGTTGGGAATTGGGTTGAAACAAACCGAACTGGCCCGAGTTGGGTTCAAAGTGCAACAAGGCAAGCCATGAGCTTAATGAGAAAAAGGAGCTCTGGCTCACTTGCCTAAAGCCGACCTTTCGACCTTGTGGTATTCCAATGGTTGGTCCATTTCTAGCAAAGGCGCCCAAAGGTTAGCCTGTTATTTCTGGGTCATTCGTGCAACTGAGCTGGTGGATTGCCATTGTTCAATGGCAACCAAGGGTCCTAAGTCCTTTCCCTGGGCATGCTCATCGAAAGCGCTGGGTAGGATCCATTTCCTTGCAAACCCATGTGACCTACTCCTTTGCGAGCCCAAGCTTGTTCGTTCATCCTGCGTCCTATTGCCTGCTGTTTCCTATTTATCACCCTCCCTTCCTCCAGAAATTGGAAGCATCGGAAGAATGCATCGCGAGCCATCGGTTTCTCAGGTGGATCTACGTCCTGCTGCTTCTGCACGCCCCGGCCCGGCTGTGGATTTGGTTCTTCTTCCCCTTCATCTTCGTGGTGGTGGACAGAATGCTGCTGGCCAACAACCAGGCGAGAAATCCGGAAAAAAATGGATGCGCGCTGGTTGGTAGCGAGGGGGGTTTGGGGGGGTGGAGTTTTGATGAGTCTCAGTACGCCCGTTTCGTTTTTTGTTTGTGTTGTTTTTTTGGTTCTTTTCTGAATGAGCCAAGCTGAAAGGGAAACCGCCCATGTAAGGGTTCGGTCGAAAGATGAACCCGGACAAAAGGCGCGTCGATTGGAGGCTGGATCGGCACGTGTCCGTTTGAAACGGGCATGTTGGCAGAACATATAGGTTCCTTGTTGGTTGCTCCGCGGACCCCTTGTGGTTTACCATCCGGGTTGTGCTTTCCGTTTTTCTTTTAAACCACAAAAGCTTTCTACCCCGAAACAAACATCCGAAACCGGCCTCGCAGTCCGGTGGAGACTATGGCATGTGTTTCAACGTAGGCTGGAGCCAACCCAAGATGGTCTCAGTTTTGCACTCGGTTTCAAATACGCACGCAGGTATTACTTTGAGGGAACCCTTGTGGGGGTGATTGGCTTGGCGGATGCAGGGAACCCGGTACCCTGATTTGGAGACACCAATTTTGGTGGTAAACAGCACGCACGCACTTCTGATAATAGTCAATCCACTATGTAAGAAAATGAGACCTGCTGGCAGGTGTTGTGTCATTCGTCAAGGCCCCAGTAAATGCAGGTCGAAATGAGCAACTTGCCGGGGCAAAGGGGTTGAGACGTCCAAGCATGAGAGCTACTCAGGGGGCCTCAGATATGGGTTTATCTCGGTGTTTCTCAAAATAGAAGACCCCCGATCTGAGACAGAGCCTTTAGGGCCTGCCTCCAAACGCAAGCCCCCAAAAGCGAAACCTCCATCACACACTCTCGAATGTCGATCCCGGTGAGTTCGACTTTTTGCGAACGGGACCAACAGGGTTTCCGTTTCCCACAGCGAGTGTGTGAGCTCGGCGTTGCACATGAGCCTGATTTCCTTTGAAGCCACTGAAAGTAGATGAAAGTAGAGCTCGCTAATGGTTCTTGGGAAACTCACCTGGGCTGACCAACAGGGAGTTCGTGGAAGCTCCAAGGCCTAAACTTTAGGCCCAATGTTTTTTGGCGCCAAAGGCACCGTCCTTCCTGGTTTCCTTTAAACCAGTAGAGCTCACATGGAATGGACATCTCCCCTTGAAAAGGCGGTCGATGGCACAGGCGCTGAACCTGAGCCTGAAGAGCGTGAAGCTGTTGCCCCGCGACGTCATCGGCTTGACTTTCGAGCTGCCGCAAGGCTTCGCCTACCAGGCAAATCGGTTCGATCGGATTCGGGATTTGGTGCGGGGGGGTCGGAAGCGAGAAATCCTTGTGATTTCCGGAACAGCTTGGGGATGTGGTCTTCGTTTTAGGGCATCATTTTGAATTGGTTGTCTTTGTTTTGGGGCCGACTCAGGACTTTTGAAAGAAACAGAGTGGTTTAGGGCAAAGCCTCTCGGAAGCCAATTTCCAGAGGTGGGGTTATCGGTTCTCCTCTCTCAGTTGTTGAGTGGCTTTGTAGGACCATTGGTCCTCCTAGAAGTCCGAGGAGCTCACATTCCTTTGGGCGGATTGAACATTGACTATCCGGCTTTGCTTTGCCACCACCTTTGGTCATGACACGAAACAGCTAGCTGATTTAGAGAAGTCAGTTTTGGGCGCTTTCATGCCCTGGCTGTTGCGTGGTATCATTTTCACCTTGATTTAAGGGGACACCAGAAGGAAAGTGGGCCCCCGCCGTTTTTATTTTTGGGAGTCGGGAGGCTCAAAGCAACAAAAACAATTGAGGCCGGGCAGTACATCTTGCTGGGCTGGAAGGGCGAGTGGCATCCCTTCACCCTCACCTCGGCGCCGGAGGAGAACTGCACCGTGGCTATGCGACAGTTTTTCTAGGGGGCCCCTCCCAGATGGTGACTTCCTGTTGGTTTTCCTTAAGCTCTACCGAAAAAAATGGGGATACCCCGAAAAAAAGACGCCCGCCAGTTGTTTTGCAGCAAATGAGAGGGCGGGGGCGACTTCTATTTGGAAGGTTCAAGTTCAAGCAGTGGGAAGGAAGTTCTATTTGGATGTTGTCTTGGAAATCCTAAGAGGGGGAGGGCAAGGAGTTCGATTGTTGTGTGAGTCGGTACCCCCAAAAACACACACACACACACACACACACACACACACACACACACACACACACACACACACACACACACACACACACACACACACACACACACACACACACACACACACACACACACACACACACACACACACACACACACACACACACACACACACACACACACACACACACACACACACACACACACACACACACACACACACACACACACACACACACACACACACACACACAGCAACGAGTAAACGTGTGCGCGCGTGTGTTTTCCCAACAAACGTTTCCTCAACAAAACCCAATTTCCCTCAAGGAAACCGCACAAAGAGCAATGCCCCTCCTTCCTGGAAAAATGCACAAAGAGCCTTTTAGCCACAAAACTTGGCCCCCCAAAACTGCTAACCCCCCCTTGTCGAGGCATCAGTCCCGCACCACAAATCATCCCCTTCTCCAGGGAATAACACAAAAAAAAGGAACCAACAAGCAAAGAGCCTTTTTCCGCCGACGCATCACCCCCCCTCCCCAACAAACAAATCTCCCCAAAGAAGGAGAACACACAAGGCCCTCCCCCACCAAAAAACGAAACAACAACAAAGAGCCTTGTCTTGTTTCTTTCTCCGAGGCAGCAAACACTCTCAACAAAAGCAAGTCTACACAAAAAGAACACATTGCAAAGAGCCTTTTGTGTTTCTTCCGCCGAGGCATCAACCCACACACATGGGTCTGTTTTGCTATTGCTTCCTTTTTACCAGACAATTTTGCTGTTGTTTTGTCTCTTTAAACCCATCGTTACACAGGGGCAAGTCTCAAAAAAACAGACGAACAAACCTCTTGCCACCCGGCCACCCACACGTTTCTTACAGAAAATCAGACATCCGAGGCATCAGCGTGCACATCCGGGCGCCCAACACCTTGGACTGGTGCTCTGCGCTGCGGAAGCGCCTCACCGAGACGGCTCCAGGCCAGGCGGCGGGGCTGAAGGAGACGAAGCCGCCCAAGGCGCCGCGGGTCTTCGAGTACAGCGGCCGGGCGGAAAAGACGGCGCGGCCAGTTCTCACTTCCTAAGGGCGTGGGCTTTAAAACAACTTTCTGGGTTTGGACCGATTGAGTGGAATGCAAGAAGTGTTTCACTTTTTTGGGGCCATGCACTCAGGACGTGAGATTCGATGAAATGAATATATTTTTCGTAGATTATTTCCCCTTGTTGGTTTTAAAGGGAGTCGATTCCAGTGCTGGAAATAGGTGTTTATTTTCCTGCTAGGGGGCCCAAGCAAATCGTGTTGGTGCGATAGGTAGGGAACGACCGGGGCCAGGTGTTGGTTGAATGAACCGGTTTTGGGGAGTATCTGCAGCCTCCCAGGTGTTGCGTGTTTTCTGGTTTTGAGTGTGTTGCTTTGCCATGAGAGAAATCCGTTGACATTTTGTCAAGCGGGGCATATTTTTTTCTGTGCGTTGCCGGCTTCTCCAGATCTCAGGTCAGAGACCTAATTTGTGATTTCTCTTGCTTTTCACTTAGTGGTGTCTCTTTTTGGGGCTCGGACCCCCCGGAATGAATGTTGATTTCCCTTTAAAACTCTTTTTGGGAATCGGACCCCATGGATGTGGGTTTCGCTTTAAACCCCATCCTTTAAAGGAGCACTGAGCCGCTCCCCAAAAGACAAGCGACCCCCTTCGGCCGAAGCTTCGGTTACACGCTGAGGCAAGCACACGCTGCCCAACAGCCACATCGTGTACAATGTGCCCAAGGCGAGGCCAAGAGACACAGTTCGCTTTTTCTCGACCCGGGTTTGGGATTTGAACCCCAGTACCTTTTGAAACCGTATGAATGGTGTTGGTGTTTTCTCAGCAGTTCAAGTCTGGTCAGCAACTGGGTTTTTTGTTGGGTCGGCGGGTTTTTCCGTGGCCAGGTGAGTCGTGCAGAGGCAGAGGGTGAGACAAGGGCCGACCCAAGGCTCCTAGGGCGCAACGCCTCGGGCAAGGCGCGGAGTGTCCGAGTACCCTTGTGGTAACTAACATGGAACCTGACTGAAGGTTTCTGGAACATGCTCTTCAAGGGAGCTCCAGGTTTGTTCCATGTTGGGGTGCGCAACCAGAGGTCCATTCAACCTCCCCCCCAACTGCCCAGCAACAGTGAGTTTGACAAGGAAAAGAACTGAGATCATCTTCCCCCCTCTTCAAATACATGGGCGCCGAGGAACACAAGGGGGGGGGTTATCAAACGTGAGTACCCTTTTTTGCATTTTTTTCACTCCAAAAAGGGGCCACCCCACCCCACCCACCCCACTTGCCCCACCCACCCCACTTCGCAGGTGCTGGAGCCGGCGCGGAGCGGGATGACGATGATCAGCCGCCCGGCGCCGGGGATGCTGCCGGAGGAGGCGGTGGTGCTGCAGGTGACGGGGCCCTTCGGCGCTCCCGCGCAGAAGGCGGGGGATCGAGCAAGTCTATCGGAGGTGGGGGGGGGGGACCCCAAGAAAAGCTGGTTGGGGTGTACTATGGCTTGGGTTCTGAGTTTTGTTGGGTTTTTGTTGGGGTTCTGGGGGGTGTTGGGCGGTTCTCGCTTGCTTGGTTGCTCTGACTTCAGGGTTGCACGAGTTTCATTTTTGGTGGGCTTAAAAGGGGACACACGAGACACTCTGCAGGTGGATCTTCTAGGCAAGCCTGAACTGATGTGTAGTGTAGCGATTTGAACCCGGGTCCCGTGTTGCTTTTTCTCTTTTTTTTCTTTTTCCTGAGTCAATTGGCCAGTTGGAGTTCTGGCTAGGTTTGGGCTTGTAATGTTGACCCCAGATTATTAAACCAACCGCTACATTCAAGGGAGAAGGGGTGTCCATTTCTGGGTGAAATGTGGCGGATTCAGACCACTTGAGGGGAACCCCAAGAACCGCCCCCACATGGCTGAATGAACTGTTGATTCATTGCTCTTTTGCATGTCCGCGGGCAAATATCAGTGCTTGGGCGATATAGGCTGGAGAACCATTTTGACTCCGGCCACATCACTTGGCACTCTATAGGTAGAATGTGGGGAATATGAGAATAATCCCCCCCACCAAAGTTTATGTTCAGGTGTTTATCAAAATTGGGAAATCTAGGAGGTTCCCATTTGGCACCTTTTACCTACGTTTTTGTTTAGAGACACACCCATGGCCGGCGCTCTCCGATGTTTTAGCATGTCCTTAGGATGCCTCGATCCGTTTCGGACTCGGACGTGATCGTCACTTTTTGGGGTTTGGTTGCCTTTTTAGTGGTAAATGACAAGTGTGGTTTGTTTATTTGTGGCCAATCCACTCAGGAGCTCAGTACTTAAGAGTGCCATATGATTTAGGGGGATTTGGATGGAGCTATGATTTGGAGCCGTGTTATGTAGTAAGGAAAACAAGATTAATTATAAAGGGCCTGTTAAAGCTCGCATGTTCCACTAAACAAGGCACCCTGGACTTAAGTATGCTATGATTTGCAGGTTGGCTGAAGGGAAAACCAAAAGGGCACTGGGCCCCATTTGTTGGGTCCACATCCCTCAATTAGCCAGGGCTTCGACATCTTTTGTTTATTTGGTTTTCATCAGATTTCCATATGGTATGGTGTGCATGTGTTAAACGCAGTAATAGTAGTAATAATCATATTAACAATAATGATAAACATGAACTATCTAATAAACAATAGTAGTAAACAAAAATGTAGAGAATGATAAACATATTTATGGATAATAATGAAACACAAATAATGGTCATAATGATAATCATAATAAGATAAGCATATATATATATATATATGTGAGTGTTTACAACTGGTGTACATATGTGTATGAAAACATAATATGTGTATTATATATATATGCATATACATATATAAAACCCGTATATACATGTAATACTATATTTATCTACATGTATGTATCTATATGTATGTATGTATATAGTGAATCCACCCAGGTCTTTCGTTTGTTTTCGTTGTTTTTTTCAGGTCTGGGGCTTCGACACCTTGATGGTGGTGGGCGCCGGCATCGGCGTCACACCCTTCGCCTCCATCCTGCGCTCCGTGCAGCTCCGCGCCTTGGACGAACCGCGCCGAGCAAGGGAGTCGACGATTCGATGGGGCGCCAGGGGGGGGGGGGGTGGAAACATGACCTCTTATTTGGCGTTTGCAGCACATGACTTTTTTCTTTTCGTTTTTTTGTTGGGGGGGAGCCGCTTTCTTTCTGGGTGGTTTGAAGGGTTTGTTTTCGTGGGGAAACACGGCCTTTTTTTATTTTTCCGGAGGGGGGGGGGAACGACATGTTGATCTTGGGGATTCATTGCGCTCGGGCATTTGAATTTGTCTTTTGGGTGAAACAACTTTTTTGGGGATTCGCTATCAACTCGTCGAGTCGATACAGCGGGCGAAGCGACGCCTTTGCCGGACTTGAGGCGCATGTTGAGGCCAACTTCATCCAACTTCTCTGGGTTTTGTCCTCGAGTTTTTCCAAAGAGCTACGTTGTTTGTTTGGTTTACTTGGAATATGGCAGGGGCATCCACTGATTTGGGGTGATGGGGAAGGGGCAATTGGCTCGTCTTTTTGTTGAGGCTCGGAGCCTAGTTTTGTGGTAAAGGAAGACTAAAAGGACAACCATCAATTTGGGGGGGGGGGGGCGCTGAAAAGACACACATTTGTGAAAAACGTGTTGTTTTGCAACCCAGCCTTCTTTCGTGGTTTGGCGGTTTGGGGGGTTTGGTGATCTGGGTTTGGAGGGGGGGGTTCTGCGGGGTGGTGGGAGGTGGGTGATTGACTTCCAGAAATGGGTTCTGGGCCTTTGGTAGTCTGGGTATTTGCTTTGGCTTTGTTGTTTTGTGTTTTTTTGCGTCCCCCGTTTGTTTTTGCACACCTCATGCTTGCATATTTGCTTGGTGTATGGGTGTTCCTTGGCTTCAGTGGCAAAGAAGACCTGCAGTCTCATGCGTGTTTACTCTTTTCTTCACAGAGACAACTCCTGCATGGCTCATAAGTTCTTTGGGTGTTGCCTGTTTTGAACCATCACATGGGTGTGTCTTTTTAGGGCCCCCTAATGGTGGTTTTTGCTTTGTTGTTTCTTTAAAACCACAAAAAGGGGGTGCCAACCCAAAAAAACAAAAACGAGCCACCCCTGTACTGGTCGCGTACTGTTTTTCTTTGGGGTGTTCAGCCTGTTGTGGTGAAGTCGGTTTTCCTTGAGGCTCGAGGCTACTTGTCTCAAGGCTGATTAGAAGGGACACCTCCGTCATTTTGCTAGCCCGGAGAAAAAATCACCCGCCAGAACCATCCTTTCTCGGGAGTTCTCAATCCATGTTTGGAGCTATCCCTTCAGATGCCGGAACGGCATTGGTTTCTTCATTTGGGTCGTGCGAGAAGTGGACAGGAGTTGCTATTTGAGACCATAGCAGTCTTCCAACACTCTGTCATTCTCCATGATACACCACAGGCATGTTCTTCATTCCCGGGAAGGTCCGGCAAGCCCTCACTTTCGGAGATGTGCAAACCGTGGTTGTGGCCTGCCTGGGGAAAATACAGACACGCCCTGATCGAAGTGTACCATGGTTCAGGGGGGGCGGGGAAATGGCTGTCAGGTCCCGAACTATGTTTGCCTCCAAATCCTCTCCTTGCTGGTGCAGTAGGGAATGAGGGAATGAACCTGGGGATTCCCTCAAAGGAGACCACCAGTTGGATGGTTTGTAGGGGTTCTCTCATTCCCTGCCTATCGCACTAGCAAGTCTCGAGGAGTCAGAATGCACCCGGTCTATCCCTCTCTGAGCCCCCAGGCAGGAAATTGATTCCCAAACCATAAATATGTTTATTTGAAGAAATATAAACACATTCCATACCTGGCCCGAACTTCAATCCATGAACCTTCTTTTGGGTTAGTACGGCCCTCCGATCACGTGTGATTTTTTGTTTAGCCCTTGAGAGTTTCTTGCTTCTGTCTTTGCGTACGCCCGCCCTTTGTGAAGGGCAACATGGAAGGCGATTTCCTCCCAGGCTGCTTCTTTGCCTAGGCTTTTGCCTTGGTGGAAAACCACTTGTGGGCTGGCTGACTCCTCCTCGATTTTCCCGCGCGCGCGTTCGGCGCGCTCGCGGCTCACTGGTCCAGGCGCGCGCCAGCGCGAGACCATCATGAGCGCGGCCACGAAGCCTTCGGCGTGGCGGAACATGGTGACGAACGAGGCGGAGGAGCGACAGTCACGATGGCCCAGGGTCCCTAGAGTCCAAAATGGAAGGGGCCCAACCGGGCAAATGATAGCCAGGGCCCCATCAGGGTCACATGGCCGTGTGAACCCTTCCCCAGAAGAATGCGCTAGGGGGGGGAGTTCTTCTTTTGGGGAAAATGATGCCAGGGTCCCCCAAAGTTCTTCTTTTTGGGTGGGCGTGGCCCAACTTGTGCCGGGGGGCCTTGTTCTTTGGGGATTCGGACCTCCCCCCAAAAATGTGGTTGTTTTTTTTGTTGGTTCCCCTTTGAAACAACAAACATGGGGGAAAAGAAGACACATGCAAATGGTTGGTGTTCGGTCGCTTCTGCCTTGAAACTGGTTTACCCTAGAATTGTGGGGCGCTTTGGGATTCAAGCTTTGTCATGATTGCAGGAGTCAACCCTCCCTTTTGCTTTCTCCTATGGGCACCCGTGTTGCCTCAAGTGCCCGAGCCGCATCTTCTTCCGCAAAACGAGAGGTTGAGCAACCAGCCTTTTGTTTTTTTGCTTCCTGCCCCAATTTTGTTTTCTTCCGCAAGTCGCCAAAGGCGCGGTTCAGTTGACTTGGTCAGGGACATGGGATCCAGGACAGCCGGGCCTCCTTGCAGAAGCTGGTGGAGGACCTGGTGGTGATCCCCAAGAAGAGCCTCGGCGATTGAGTCTCCGGAACCGGGGGTTTCACCTGAGGGATCCAGGTACTCTGCCTCAAGGACATGTACTCGGGTGGAAGGGGCCGAGAATCCAATGAAATGATGTAAAACGAAGGCGGCCCTCAGAAACGAAGCCTCCCGAGAGTCTTTGGGACAGTTTATTTGGCGGGCGGATTTTGAGTCATGTGACCCTTATGGTGTCAGCCAGTCTGCAAACCCAGTGCGAAATTGTTTTTGAGGCTCGGTAACCTTTTTGGGGTGGTTCAATAGGGAAAGCCAAGGGAGAACCCCCTTTATCGGGGGGCGGTTTAAACAGACGCTCGATGGCTTTGGCGGCTTCAGGGGTCAAAGTACCTTAGGTACGTGGACCCATCGACCTTCAGGGCATAGTCCTTTCAACGCTTTCTTGGGGAGGAGCACCTTTGAAATCAACCCGGAAAAGCGCATTTGATTTTTTCCCCACAGGGCTGGGAAAAAGGCGTGCCTCTTCTTCGAAGTTGGGAACCTCAATTTTTGGGGTGGCTTATTGCAATTGAAAGGGAATCCATGTTCTGGCTTGTCCATGATCAAAGCTTCCAACGTTCAACCTTTAAATTGGCTGCTTTTTTGAGAGCACCTGCTTTGTGATCGCTCAAAGCCACACCACAAGGAAGCCAATCATTTGCTGGGTTTCCCTGAAGGAACAGTTGTTCTCTTCAGGAGGCATTTCGAGTTCTTGTCCTGGACCCCAATTCTTGATCAAAGTCATATTCGGATTGTGCCAATAGAATTATCTCAAAATGTGCTTAAAATGAGTCACAAGCACGTGGGCAGTTTGTGGGCTCTCGTTACTGGCGCATATGTAAATAGTTTGTCGGATATATTTGTTGTCGCCATTCGGCTGCATTGAACCTGTGCTCGTCCCTTTTTGTTCCCTTGACTTCGATTTGTTGCTTCCTTTGACTTCCATTTGTGTTTCGAGGTTATTTTTGGGGAGGGGAATGACATCCGCGCGCGGATGCGGATTCATGTTTGTTGGATGGATGCGACAGGATCTACTTCTACTGGATCTGCCGGGGGCAAGAGGAGTTCGACTGGTTCTGCGACCTGCTGGCGGATGCCGCTGAGGGCCCGCACGCTGGCATCGTGGACACTTCGCTCGTGTGTGGGGGTGTCGCTGGTGCGATAGCTAGGGAATGACCGAGACTGGGTGTTGGGAATGACCCGGTTTGGGTATTGCCGGAAAGCAAACCATAGGGGATTGGGAAATAGCTAGGGAATGACTTGATGAGACCGGGTGTTGGGGGAATGAACCGGAAAGAAAATTCCTTAAAGCAAACCATACATTCCCTTCTTCCCTGCTGAGAACCAGCAAGCATATGGCTGTGTCCTTTTTTTAGACGCCTCCCCCCCAATAAAAACAGTGGTTGTCCTTGGATTCCCTTCAAACTCACCCAACGAGGGGTGCTCTCAAACAGCACTCACCCACACGTGTTTTTTTTTGAAGGAGGGGGGTCTGGGGGTGGGGGGTGGGGGTGATTTACACATCACTTTTTGTTAGCCCATTTCAGGTAAGGGTCCCTTAGATCTTTTAAGTTTGCAGGGAAAATCAAGGGAACCCTGTTTCACGCCCTTCAAGCAGGGGGCGAAATGTCTTTCAACAAGGCCCACAAGGCCCTCACCACCTTGACATGTGAAACAAGGGAGATTGTTTTGAAGAACGGGTGTTTAAACAAGGCTCACACCCTTTACACTCCCACCAACAAAGAGGATTTGGTGCAGAGACCCCCTTTTTTTAAAGTACATTCAAAGGTCTTCCCTTTGCAATCAGCTCATTTCAATGTGGAAGATAAATGTGTTTTCCCTTTGCAATCAACGTATGTCAATGTTGAAGAGGGATTCCACCGTTTTGATTGGTCCTCCGAAAGCGGAGCTTTGCAGATGTTTTGGGTCTTTCCGCGGGAGTAAGGACATCACCTTGTTCCTCACCGGCGAGATTGAGTTGTCCCAGGCAGGTTTCGGGCATGTGTCAAAAGAGAGGGCCCAACAAAACAATTGTTTTCCTTTTGGCTTTCACTAAAATCCACCTTTAGAAGCGAATCCTCAAAAATGCACATGCACTTTGAGGTTTAAACCCATACCCACACTTGGTCAGGTAGGGGCACATCTCATTAGAACGCACCCCTTGGGGCGAACCTGGGTGGTTGTTGGAGGACTTTATTCAGCGTCCTTTTGCTTGGTGGTTTGGATTGGTGGTTAGGAAATTAAGCGTAGTTTCTCATGTGCCCTCTTCGAAAGCCAGGGGTTTAAATCCCAAATCTCCAATCCAAAGCTGCGCGTTGCCTGATTTGCACGGAATGTGGGATGCGTTCTGGAGATTGCTGAGTCAGCTAGTTCTGGCTTCAGTTTTGGATGCAGTCTCTGCTTGATGCAGAGTGGGGGCGCAGCCTGGGAAACAGGGCCTCTTTTTTGTTTCCAACAGGAAGGACTTCACCCAGGAAGAGTTGATTTCCTCAAAAGGGGGATGAGCTTGAGGCGTCATTCTTGGGGGTTGAAAGTGCTCCTGCCCCTTTCAACCTCATCACATCAAGGCGGTAAGGAAATCCCTGCCCAAAGATGGGTGACTAGCAGGCTTTGGCACAAAAGTTCACAGCCAGACTCTTTCGCTTTGGATGGGGAACAGACATGAGGTTGTGCAGACACTGTTGTTGAGGATATGTTTCTTGGGGCTTCTTTCAAGAAAGAAGGGGAACAGCTCGTCTGGGGTTCTCTTGTAACAGAGGGCACTCCCCTGCAAATTAACATGTCTCGTAAAAGGAGATTCTCCAAACAGACGGCTTGGTTTCATACTACTGAATCTGCAGAGATGTCAGTAATATTTTTGTTCAAAGGCTGCGTTGAGGCCAAGTGAGATGCGGTCCAACGACGCATCGTCGATTTGAGGTTCGGTTCTCCTTTGTAGGGGGAGGAGCTCTACCCGCAAAACGGCAGGAGACGAGGGTCGGAACTTCCCAAGTCCGAGCGGGGTTTGGTCACAAGGAAGCGTTTGGGGAGCCCGACATCGGCGGTTTCCCTGTTGGTTTCCCTTTGAAACCAACCCCGAGACTGCCAACCCAAATGTACCTGACAAAAGCAAGCATGTGGGTGTATCACCTTTTTGTGTGAATAGGTACCTTTATTTGTTGTAACCTTTTAAGGGACCACAAGGAGGACCGTGTCCAGACCCTCCAAAGAAATGCTCCCAACTGTCTACCATTTTGTTGGTGTCGATGGTATTTGCGGTGTTCTGCTTTTTTGTGCTTTGGGGAAAGCAGCGGTGCCTTATTAACATCTATGTCAAATTTAGAAACTAAAATCTAGTTTGAAGTAAGAATCACAATTAAACATGTTCTTCCAAAAGGAAATCGTATTTACATCATCTTTAGAGCTAGAACTGTTTTTAGGATGTGTCACTGTTAATTTCTATTTGGATTTCAATTGGAACCTTGAAGCACTCAGTCCTAGAAACAGAGACCCCCTTAAATCTAGCTTGAAATAGGAATTCCAACTGCAAAAATGATTTAAACACAAGCATATTTACATGTTCGCTAAAACAGAACCTCTACTAGAACAACTATGTCCTTGTTTTAACCTCTGTTCAAACAAGAAACATAGAAACCGTTTCAATATCTAATGTCAAGTAAGACATTTGATTGCAAATATTATTTGCAGATGAACACCTGTTGACATTCCATTTTATTTAGAAATCCTACTGGGAGTATGTCTTTGTTAAATTCCACTTCGATTCTATTAGAACATTGAAACCACATCCTAGAAAAGAGAGAGAGACCCCCTTTGGAATCCAAGTTGAAACAATAGTGCCAATTAAAAACCTTCTTCTAACACACGCCTATTTAAATCATAATTAAACCTAGACACTATTGTAGAATCATGTCCTTGTTAAATTCCGTTTAGTATTTGATCAACAAACAAAAAGGGAGAGCGGTTCTAGATCTAGTGTCAAGTAAGTTACACGTTTAAGTAGTAATATTATTTGAACAGGAAAACCTATTTAGACTATCTTTAAACTAGAACTCCAATAGGATGATCTCCTTATGAATTCAAAAGAAAGAGTCTAAGTTGAAGTAAAGAGTCCAATTGACAGAGTCTTTGAAAGGCGATCCTTTTTAAATTACTTTTCCATAATTTCATGTATTTGCGGTGTGCTTTGGGGAAGGCGGCAAAAAAAGGATTCATGTCCAACGACAATCTGGAAGCTTACGGCTCCAAACTTTTTCCAGGGGATCTTGAATCCAGGCCCGAGTGAAATTTCAGTCGGCTTGGATCCACCTCTGTCCTACTTGTAAGCTGAGGTTTGGCCAGAAGATGAGGGTCAGGCCCCCAAACCGTTTGAACCCTTCGAACCGTTTTAACCCTTTCTCAGAGGAAAGGTCCCCCCCCAAGAAGGGTCAGGGGCCCAAACCGCGGTTCAAACCGCTTGAACCCTTTCTCAGAGGACAACCCCCCCCCCCCGTTTAAACGGGCCAGACCTTTGCTCTGAGAGTTAAACGGTTTAAACGGTTTTGGGCCCAGACCTTTGAGAGAGGGTTTAAACGGTTTGAATGGTTTTGGGCCCTGACCTTTCCTCTGAGGGTTCAAACAGTGTTCAAACGGTCTAAATGGTTGAGTTGGAAGTCTTGTACCTTTTGCAGAGTCAGATGTTGTGGGCAGAGCAACTGAAGACTCAAAAAGCTCGACATTTGGGGGGGTACCAAAACAATCCAACACCCGGGCGGCGTTTGGTCGCCTTTTGTTCGCCCTCTCCAGGTGAAGAAGCTGCCCTGCGCCTCGGGCCAGTTCTTTGGGCGACCCAACTGGGGCCGGATCTTCAAGCAGAACCGAGCCTCGACGCGAAGATCCAAGATCCAATCGATGGATCGACACCCAATAGGACTTGTGGGGAACCTTCAGGAACCCTAGGGCTCTCAACTACCTCCCCTACCTGCATCCCTTAGGGATGCCACAATCATTGGATTTGGATTTGAACCCCTTGTTCTTGTAGAGGGTAAGTGAGAAACCCCACCAAACCACTTAGAGTTCGATTGAAGTGGCGTGTCCAAGCCAACGGACTCACTCATTTTCTCATGTCCAAGAAAGAAATGAGGCCATGGCCCATATGCACGTGTTTTTCCAAGCGGAAGCAACATGGGTTGCTTTTTCTACACCCCAGATCCCCCATTCAACACCTGGCCCATGTTTCAAGCGCGTTTCCGTCCGCGGCTATGGATCCCTTTCAAGGAGAACCTGAGGTCTGTTGAACAACATGGGTTCGAACTGGTTCCAACGGCTTGGTGTTTGCCTCTGGGATTTGCTTTGGCTTCCTCTGGTCCTTGTTTTTGGGGAAGCAAGGGGCTTACAACCCTTGACACCCGCCTTGAACCTGTTCTGTTGAGAACCTTTTTTTTGGGCATTCTAAACCCTTTTCTTTTTGGAGCCCAAAAATGCAAGGTTTGGTTTCCTGCCAGGGACGGTCACAACCCAAGCTTTGCGTTGAATGGGTGGCATGATGCGTCGACTTTGGGTAGCTTCCGAATGGGTGGTTAACAGATGTCAGGTGGCTTCGACTCGAATGAATGTGTGACGTCAATCCAGTTGGGTCAATGTTTGTTGCTTTTGCCTTGTGTTCGATGCCCGTCTTCAGTCGGTTGAGTTGTCTATGCTCGAGAATTGTTCTTACCATGCTGAGGAGAGAAGCATCAGGGCGAGCATGTGGCTCGTCAGCAGCTCACATGGCCGCCCTTCGCAAGTTTGGGGAGGTTCCTTTTCAACCCGTCTGAATTGACACGCTGTGACGCCTTTTGAAGGGGATAATAGTGTTCCTGCGGCACAGAACTGGTTGCAATTCCTACAACGCTGACACGTGATGCATGAGAGCTGGTTGCAATTCCCCTGGCCACTATTGTGTTTTTTTTTGGGGGGGCCTTCTGGTGGTTGGTTTTTAAGGGAAACCACAAAGAATCTCAAGCAGCTTTTTCTGAATGTTGCCCCCATGTTAATCAACCCCAGTATATTATTAGGATGGGTTTAGTGGGGATTCAGACCATTTTGGGAGGGGCCAAAAACCACCCCCTGTTGATAAGCTGGTTGATTGAAATCTTTATCGGCTCAACATTAGGGGTACGGGTACATTCCCTCATGAGACAAACCCACATTACAGCTAAAGGTTCGACATCAACTCGCGGCGCCTTATCAATCAAGGACGTGTTGAACCACCATGCTTGTTAGAATAGTCTGCATGTAGGTCTGCTTTTGTAGGGCTTGGTATTTGTTTGTTTCAGCAAATGGGTATAAATGGGTTTGCTTTTTTGAGAGGAATTGTTTTGGGTTTATAGGAAAACCCAAGAGGAAAAACACAATTTGGGGAGGGTCCTCCGAGAAAAAAAACACACACACACACTCAAATGTTGTAACCAACACTTCCAAGAAACACTTTTGATGCTTTTTTTTTAACCTGCGTTGTTCAGTGGCTTTGCCACGGTTTCCAATGGCCAGACAAGTTGCCAAGTTAGCGGTGGTCTGGGGACCATCTGAAGGACGCCCCTGTTCGACGTTGTTGGAGAGGAAGACTAAAGGAAAAATACCATTGGAATTTTATGGAATGCCAGGGCCCGTTTGTGGGAAAGGAACAAAATCTTCATGGTTTGTTGAACCGTGGACATTGGGGGAAACAATGGGGAAACAAGCCCTCATCGAAGCGTGTTTCCAGTCGTTTCCTTTTGGTGGTTGATGAAACCAGCCGCCGGAACCCCACCCCCAGTTTCCCAAATTTAAGACACTTCTGTACTGAAGGCCTTGTGAAGGCCTGATTTGGAGGCGACGAAGGGAGGGCAGTTTGGCGGGGGGAAAGGATCCTACGAAAACCCGCCAAGTAGACCAAACCCACACACACCCCAGAAACCCACTGGATTGGGTCTGCGCTTTTGCAGGTGTCCTTTTGGTTTCCCTTGGCGGTTCTTTTGGCTTCCTTCTAGCATAACTCGAAAAGGGGATGCCCTCAACACAGATCAGGTTGGCCTCAGTTGGTGGTTTGGATCGGATTTTGGATTTGAACCCCTGGTTCTTGTAGGGAAATGGGGTTAACCACCAATTCGGCTCCAAACTAATTGGAGGGAAGCTGACTTTAGGTCTCCCCCCTTTCTGCCCGTTTCTGCCGGGGGTCGATTTTTGTGTGAAGGTTGGCGTCTTCCTGTGCGGGTCCCCCATCATCGGAGAAGAGCTGAGCCGGCAGAGCGTGAAGCACTCGGATCTGGTGGGCACGCCACACGCCACAAGGTTCTCATTCTTCAAGGAGCACTTCTGAGGCTGTCGGAGGCAGGGATTCTCTGCCTTTTTTATTGCGAGCTCCCGATCCAGGGTAAAAGGTCCTTTCCTTGAAGATCCAATTCTTAGTCTTATTTTTGGAATTGTAGTACAACATGCAAACATATGCCAATGGATTGGATCCCCTCAGTTGCGAATCGACCTTTTCCTCACTCCCTGGGTTCCGTTTCGGACTTGAGTCTCTTTCTGGGGTTGGACCATGGTGAAAAGTTTGGTTACCTGTTTGGGCCAATCCACTCGTTGGGGGCTGAGCTTAACCTGCTGGGTTTCCAATTTTGGACTACCCAAAATGGCAAAAGCTCTCCTGGGCAGGTGGCTTATCTCGCCTCTGCAGAGCTGGGACTGGGAGTTGGGGAAACTCCATCTGTTCCGCCCAAGTGGGAGCTACTCAAGGAGCTACCAGTTCCGGAAGGATTAAGGGATACCATATGATTTTCCGGTGGCTTTTTGGAACAACCGAGATCCCAAATTCATAAGGGATCCGAAGTTTTGAGCTGGTCCCTTGTGGGAGGCAGAAAGAATGTCGCAATAGCGGTTAAAAGATGGTGAAACAAGGGCCAGCAAACCACCCCTGGTTTTCCCAACTCCTTTGGGGCCATGAGGTTTTGCGTGTGGGACAAGGGTCCTATCCTCCAACCTGCGTTGCCGTGGGGGTTCCACCCGGAATTTTGGACAGGAAAAGCAGGGGCCTCGACGTCAGCATCGCCCCTTTCGGGGTGGCCCAACCGGCGAGCCTTGCGTTCAATCTGAGGCGACGTTTTACCTTCTGTTTCGTTTTTTGCAGCAATGTTGGTGTTAAAGGGAACCTACTGCATCACTACTGGAAATATGTGTTTTTCTGGGAACTTGAGCAACTGGAGGTTTCCCAAACAGAGCCCCCTTACCCTTGTGATTCCTGTTTTTGGTTTTGGGCGCAGGTGGCGAATTCCCTCTCGATGAACGGAGAGTCAGATCTTCGGCTGATTTCTGAGCCGAGGATCTGGTTTGCGGTCCCTTAGAGGGGCTTGTGGCTTCCAGAGCTTCCGTTAATTGGGTAACCAGGGACATCTGAACAGCTCACCGAAAGTTTCAACCGGTTACCTGCAAGAATGGATTGCCTGGGAGCTATTGGCTGCAGTCCTCGTTTTTTGGGTGCGGTGGGTGGTGCACTGGCTTTCGAATGTCTGGCCCCTGCGCGGCTTCAGCGAATGCTGAAGAACCGTACGGCAGTCGCCGGGTTTCTTAGCTCATTCCCAGGCCTTGCTCACCAGTCGAGGTCTGGCGAGCTTCTTATATCGATTGCCACAACCGAGACCACACGAGTCTGGTTGGTGCTTTCCAGCACGCCTCCCATCGCGCCCGCCTTTTCCTCTCCCCCTCCCTCCCCCCCCCCTTACCGGGTGCCTTTAGACACTGAGAGGCGATTTGGCAGTGATTTTCTTTGAATGCTTTAAGACTGCTCAAATCATGTCGAAGGACGCTGCCAAAGAGGCAGATCGACGTGTCCGCCACTTCATCCTGAGAGCATGCCTTGGAGCCTGCAAATGATGTGCCGAACTCACGGTCTGCTGACAGGTCGAGTTTTGGTCCTGGGTTCCACGAAGTGAAATTGTGACAGATGAATGCGCCCTCACAAAAAGGGTTTGCGACTTCACCCGGGACAAAGGTCGCTTGCTGAGGGATTTCTTATATCAGTGTCGTGAATCCGTTTTTGTTTAAACACAAACCTCGTCATCAGATTCGGTACAATTGTGCGGTCGAGGCGTAAAAGCACTCTTGCATATTTTGACCGTGGCTTACTCTGTGAAACCGTTCTCGGCATCCTCTCGATATAACGGTTGAACCTTTTGGGCATTTTGATGGAATGTATATTTCCTCAACATCGGGGATGGGGAGGGAATCACCATTGTATATACTGAGGATCCTCTTGCTAGACGGCGCTAGGTACCGTTTTTTTTTGCAAAAGCTCAAGGGGACTCCGAGTTCAATCATGGCTTGGTAGCCTTAAGGTAGGTTGGAGCATCAGCACTTTGGAACCATTTCCAAAGGGTGACATACGTCGCGCGCGAACGCCGAATTCCAACGGGGTCACGTTTGTGGAAACGCGCAATGGGCCCTTTGGGGTCCGAAATCTTTGACGAGTCATGCCGTGGCACGTGGGCCTCTCCTTCTTGGGAAAAAAGGCCTTCTTGGTTGGTTTCAAGAGAAATCCCAAAGGAACATCCCCACTTTGCGGGTCCACAAAACAGACATAATGTGGACTGATCCGGTGAGTTCCTTTTGGCCATGGTTCATTTGACACCCCGCGAGAAAGGCGGCGGTCGAAAGCTACGAAGGATCCAGCTTTGCAGGTATGGAGCTCATTTGAGCTACACGGTTGGTAGCCGTTACAAGGGATAGGGCGGTCAACCGGCTGCCTGACAAAATGCCCAAGTTTGCCCAGTGGCGCATTTTCCCTTTTTCTGGGAAGGGTTCCCCTTTAAACTCTTTCCCCATGGCCACTGGGCATCTGAGAATGGGAGCAAAGCTGACCATTCAACCCAAGTCAAGGGCTGAGGCTCGTGGAAGCATCAAGGCCCAGTATATACTTTGGGGGTTGCTAAACGGGAAGTCAGTTGTCACCTTTGAACTTATTCGTGGTTTCAACCATTTATTATTAGCAATGACTCATGTTGTTTTGCACCTTTCTCAAATTGGGACTTCCAATGAATGTGTTTTTTGCATGAGCGATGGGCGTGGTCTCCTTTCGCTTCCAGACGGCGAGGGGGAATGGGCCGAATCTACACATTATTTGGTGAAAAGAATCTCTTTGAGCCGTCGGGAGTCATGCCAGTCCAGAGCCAGAGAGAGAGAGAGAGAGAGAGAGTGTGGGCCTCCCAGCGGGCGTGTAAGGTCCCGAACGCAGAGGTGATGGACTTCACGTGCCTCGCCAATCGCACCATGACGGAGGAGGAGATGGCCTGCGGTGCCGTCTGCCAAGCCAGCCGCTCGCATGAGTCATCTATATTTTCTCAGAAGGAAACTCGCGGGGGGCCGGTACTTGCTAGATTTTTCAAGATCCCCTATGTAGTACCCAGTGCTGGTTTTGTGGGTCAACTTGTTTTGCGCCATTCATGATTGGCTGGTCTTTGAGAACACGTTCTCAGTGCATTGTCCCTGAGTTGCGTGGTGTCACCCGGATAGCCATTTAATGTTTGGGTATGCTTGTGTCCCCACTGCCTAGAAAGCAGCTTCTCTTTTCACAGGGGGCGGGGCGGAGGCTAGCCAAGTTAGCATTCGGTCGATGTTATGCTGATGTCAATGTGTTGCCATTCCTATTTTGGTTGGCCTGCTTGCCTGCTGGTCCAATTTCAATCAGGGCCGCGAAAGGTTGCCGTGCCCTTCGCACTTCAAGGCCCAAGGTGGACGGTTATGGCACAAATCTTCAATGTTATCAGCGGGCACATGGTTTCCAGTAGCTAATGTACTTTACTTTGACCCATCTACAAACGAATCATGTGATTTATTCAATAACAACCCAAATTCAGGGCTTGAGTTTCCTTGGGTGGCATTTTCGGAGGACATCGTGGGGCCCTAAGTTTTATTGGACCCTATTCGGACGAGGCGGGAAATGTCCAAGGGTGAAGAAGGCGGACAAGTAACAAACAGGCGCTCGCAGGCGACAATTACTTCCCACATGCCAAGTATGCAAGTCATCGGCCTGTGAGCTACCAACAACGCATTTGTTTCCTTTACAAGCGTTGTTTGGCGCTTGTCGCAGAAAAGCGCTCGATACACTCACCAGCAAACCAACACATATGGGCTTTGTAAGGCCACAATACGCACATCGGCCCCCGACAACAGGTCCGTCAAGCAAATTGCCAGTAGTCAATACATGCCAATACGGGGTGTCCGAAAACATGACCGTTTGTGGAAACTGGTGCTGGTGACACGAAGGGCTACCTCCCAACAGGCTGTTCAGGTGTAACCAAAACTGGGACGGGGCAAGGCAGGGAGTGCGGCATGTGTTTGGGACCATTGGGAAGATCTCGATTCGCTAGGCAACTAGGAATGGATTTTTTTGTCACCCAGTTTTTGCCAACCAGTCCCCGTTTGGCCCAATTTCAAGACTCCTGCTTGCCCCCAGTTGGCATGCTAGAGTGAGTCACGATGAAAGGCTTAGGGCAGGTGCAACCTGACCCAGAACTCCCGGTCTCGTTTGTTTTCCCAACGATGGTAGTGGCTTTGCCTGCTGAAATGGTGCCCCGCTAAGGGTTTCGATTGGGATTGGAGATCCCCTCAATGTTGAACAATTCAGCTTACCATTCTGTCCTGCATACCTCAGCTTGCCGCCGCGCATTGCCGGTACGTTTGTAGGAAGGCGCCATATTGGGTCGTCCCAGGTCCCAAAGGGGAATCCGCCAAATGGCAAGCTGACAGTTGGTTTCTGTAAGTCCGGTTGGCTCATTTCCCCCATGCTGCAGCTTCCTTTTGGTGCGGATCCATTTCTCTTTTTATGTCAGTGTTGGATTACGATATCACTCGCCAAAACTAGCCAAAAGTAGGCGACACCATTGCATTGCCTGAGTGCCAGCTTTGACCCCCTTGTGTCTGGCTTGGTTGAGTTGGCGGTTGCATTCCCACAGCGAGAGGGACATGTGCTGTGATCTTTGAAGGCGCAGCCACCTCCTCTTGGCATGTTTGCTTTGTCACCCATGACGTGTTTCCGGGGATGCAGCCAGGCAAATCAAAAACAAGCTCACCCGGGGCTAAACCGAGTTCACCCCAGGATGAAGGGCCCTCAAAAAGGAGAGCCCTTTTCAACAACACCCTGGCCGAAGCCAAAGGTGGGGTGTCCATCACGAACTGCTCATCCGCGTTGCCGGAGTTCGGCACCGGCTGCGGCGCAACCTCTCCCGAAAACCTGAAAGCAAGTCTCGCGAAGAAGGCGAGGTGGCTGCTGTTTTTTGCCGAGGGGTTGGAAGAACATGGAAGCACCAAGCACCCAGCCCCAACCACCAAGAAGGTGGATGATGTTTTTAGAGGTCACCACGTGGAAACCCACGTTTTGTGGGTTTCGCAGGCAGACACCGTCTTTATTGCATACAATGTTCACTAAAAATGGACCAGACTCAACAAGTGATGGTGGCTGCGCTTCTGTTGCAGTCTTTGGGCACAGAGCCTGCAGAGTTCGAAACATGTTTAATGGAATTGTTTGGCTCAAAGTCCGACCCTGCAAATCATCCTATTCTCCAAATGCCTGAGAAATCCTGAGAAGTCTTTGTGTGGGATACGCTACATCACTGAGTGTGCGGGCAAATTGTGACCTGCCTGTTCAGAGCCAATCCATTAGAGTTAGCCACAGAGTCCTTGGAATCCACGCTTGAAAATGACTCAAGAGATCAAGAATGCAAATCGAAAAGATTAAAAAATGACAACAGAGAAGAGATGCGTTCATTCCTTTCCATGCCAACCCCTCGCCTTCTATCTCTTCCCATATTGTTTGTCATATTGATGAGAAGATAAGTCGTAAATAAGCATACAGTCATTTTAGTGATAATTGGTCTTTTGCTAACTGCTAACCACACAAGTTTCTCCGGCCCTTCTAAACTTTAAACTGCTGGAGCCACCGGATTTCCTGAGCGGGTGGTTGTCAACATTATGAATCCCTTCAACTGGACCCGGCCATTCAAAAGCAACAAATGACACCGACATGGGGGTGGCAAGCGCGGCTGGGCTAGTAAGAGCCCACTCACCCTTGTCACTGGTTTTGTGTTGAGGCGCGACTGCCAGTATAGGACCACAACCGCCGCCACCAGCTCCGGCCACACTTTGCCTCCCGGCTTCACAGCGTAGCGCTCACGTGGCGATCCCGTTGGCGACCCCGTTGGCGGCCTTGGCTTGCGGGGCGGTGACAGCCTGCAGCCATTCAGCTCCAGTGTCGAGAGTTTTGAGCTGCCAAGCTGCTGCTTATTCTCGGGCGAGATGTGAAAGCAGACGTCTGGTGTTTTTGGGCCTGCCTTTTTCTGGGACGAATGCTTGCCGAATTCAGTTTGGACGCCTCAGAGTGCGTGAGACTCAGGTGGAGTTTACTCACTCGTGCTTTGTGTTTTTAATTTTTTCGGGCCCGCACCACGCGCAGTTGTCCGACTGGGCCCGACGTGCAGTGCTTTGAGAACGGTCCTCAAAGAAGGGGCCGGCTCCGAGACAGGCGTACTTGTACCTCTCAGATCCAGTCACCCCCACAGCAAGCAAACAAAACCATTCTGTGCTAAGACGTACCTATGGTACTGGATCCAAGATGGACTTGTATTGTATAGATTTTCGATACATGTTCGATACAATATTCAGACTTGCAGGCCCCAGCGGCTGCGGAAGTTTCAAGTGCATCATAGAATTCTGAACTGGAGCGTTGCCTTGCTCCAACATTTCAAAAGGTACCCCTCAGCCTAGCCTTCAGCTTCGGCAACTTGAAGAGGGCTCACTAGCCACACTCCGACCTGTGGAGGCTTCAGAACGTGGATACCTAAGGTTTGAACATGTTTGAAGACTCTCCCGCGAGCTATGAC